CACAACCTCAGTTTATATAATATGATTAGCGACTTACTTTAAGCATCTAATAAATCAAAAACTTACCTTTCTTACACCTCTCTAACAAAACAGACCCATATATTTTTATTTAAATCGCATTATCCTATAAACTAATAAATTACACCTATAAACAGAGCCTAAATTAAAATTGAATAAAAAGTCCGCAAACTTTAATTAACAATTCGATAACAAACGAGTGAACCAATTTTCTCCTGACAGCGGACAACTTTTAGTTTCTTTGCCCCTAAAAGGTTTATGCCGAAACAATGTCGCAATCTTTTTGTAATGTTTTTCGCTTCACTCGCTCATCGCGTCGTATTCTGATCTAGGCTCATCTCAATATATTTAGAGAAGTAGAGAAATGTCGCGTATTGTTATATTTCATCAATAAAATGCAACGTGAGGAAGATAAAATGTAGCAGCGTATTGGCAAAGAGGTGATGAACCCCATGCGACGAATTTAACGCGAAGCTCACTCGGTCATCGCTTGGTCAAAAACCTCGCCTACTCGGCCCACTGAGTTACGTTACCTGTAGTTATAGAACTCCAATCATAATTTCATTGGCATAATATATATTAGATCTATGGTTTTTTATCACGTAAATGTCACCAAAAGAGAAAAATGTTAGATATATCTTAACGTGTGCAGTTTAGATAACATTTACTATCTACGAGGCACGCACCTGTTCTCGCAAAACGAAACAAAACTAGAACAACTACATCCAAAATTACTTCAAAAACACTTTACACTTCAATCACAATATGTGTGTGCTGGTCTGAAGCGGTTACACGAGATACGCAATTCAAGTATGTAAGTCGAACGAAGTTGTGAAATTCTTTAATTTAAATGAGAAATCTCACGTTTCTCATATTACATACGCCTGTCGTTTGGTCCCGAATTCAATTTATATTGTATAAGCCTACCTCTTGAAACAAAAAACGTAAATTCTTTTCATTAAATTAACAAAACGACTTCCAGTTATACTTATCACACATTTATACTATGTATATCTTTGGAACAACAAAGTGTGTTTATGTTTGTAATATATTTTTTCTGTATTCTTTGGAGAGATTTCCTATTGAACAATAAAGAAACTTATGATTGGTAAATGAGAAGATATTCATCACAATTACTAAGTTGTCAGTAAGTTGCCGCAAAAATAATTATTTGTATATAATAACAGCACGAAATATATAGTATTTTGCAACATTTCTTACTTCTTCTTTTCTTACGAATTCGCTTGACTATGCGATGATTTGCCTAGTGTTAGTGTAGGTTTACGTTTAACCAGTAATTTTCCTTTAATCAAATAAATACATGATTGATTTGTGTGTTATTGATGAAAAATATATATTTTCATTTAGAGGGACCCATCTACCGCATGTCTTTTCTACGTCCGTAGTATTAGCATCAGCAATATAGAAAAATGCAAAATTAAATGACGACTTCAGAAAAGTCTAAGAAGCAGTTTTAGTACGGAAGAGAGCGTCGTAGGAAACAATTGAAAGTTGCAGTGTTTTTGTCGGGCTTTGTCGACGCAGGTTAGTAAAAAATGAAAGGACAAACTTTGGGTGTAATTGAAAACGAACGAAATTGTGGGTCTCGGCCGCGGCTCAAACTTAAGTATTCCATTTCGCCTGATGGAATTTTATGTTAGGCGAAGCGCCACTATTCTGTGATTTTTTGCGATAACACGCTCCAACGAGCTGATACAAAATACAAACTACTGGGATTAAGCACATATCGATCTTGTGTTAAATTATAAATTTAAGTACTACTTTTAAAATACGCAATTTCTGATTCAACCAGATAATAACCCGTTACATCTTGAAAACATCTACCTTAATTAGACGCTAGTTCAACACTAGCTTCTCATTCAGTGAAACAGTATTGGCTCCACCTTTAGATGTTCTCCCTGGCAGCACTATTTCATTCATCTGTTTTCCTGCCCTCATTATTCATCCTACCTGGAGTGAGATAGTACTAACTTACTTACTTATATTATGAGTTTTTTATTATATATGTAAATTATTATATTTTATTAAATGTTTCTGGACGTTATCGTATTGCCATAGTCTGTAAGGATAATGTATGTATTTCTGTAATAAATGAATAAAATAAATATTGTCTTAATTGTGCTTTGTGATATTTTGGTTACGACAAAATAATTTGTAATGAGTTTGGAATGTTCAATAGGTTTGAATAATGAATCTCTCTGAAGCTGCCGGTCTTAATAAATAGACCCCCTGACTTGTGACAAATGTTTGAAGCATTAAAAAGATTTGTACCTACCTTATTTTTACGTACAATAGTTATATAAGTAAACTATACGTATCTATACAATATTATATTATTAGTAAATATTTATATATTTTATAGTAACCTGAACTAAATTTGATTAGTAGCTTTATAATAATCAATTTTATTTACGCCTGTTATGAATGGTAAACTCTATTACCCTTGAAATTTGAATCTATCCGAGACAAAAGCTTGGCGCTGTGAGGAACTAATAGCAGTCGTCGCAGTCAGAGTAACAAGAAACTAAGCTCAATGGCGACTCGCGCGGTCTCAAACAATTGCGAGTGGAGCACTCAGCTGCAGCGTTGGCCAATTGGTTTAATCGCAGGCGTCTTTGTTGCAGCTGCTCGCTAGCTAAATCTCAGTTTCTTTGGGCCAGCTGAGGGCAGAAGGTTTTGCACGCCAAGATTTCATTTACCAACTTGTCTCCAAAACATAGTTTCAAAGGATACTCACCAAAATACACACAGATAAAAAAATTAAGTACTACATATATGATTTATTGACATAGACATAACATTTATTACAAACAAAAAACACACACATAAACACACAAAATAACAATACATAAAATAAAATAAAATAAAATTAAAAATTAAAATTAAGAAATTTTCTTTTGCCATTCGGTTCGCTTCCAGTGTGCAATGTGTGTGTACTGGGGTTGCAATTGGCCCTGGCTCAGCATTATGCTGAGGAGCAAAAAGTTCCACAGCGCTGGTCATTCTGCCAGAGACCATAGCAGCTAGTTTGCGCCTCTAATAAAATAAAATAAATAATTATAATACCAAGTAGAAAAATAATAATAATAATATTAGAATTAGAAGTGTGAGTAAATTGTGTGTAACGGTGTATAATAAATAGAATTAAATTAAAAGTTAAAAATAAGAATAAACGTAAATAAGTAGATATTCGTTTGTTTTATAGGTGGATAAAAACTACATTTCGTGGGACTTTTGTTGAATAAGTAGAAGTGTCTTATAAGTGCGACTAAAATCACTATATTGTATATTATTACAATATTGGTATATTAAATAATAAAAAAAGTATTTTTAACATGTCTGAATACAGTGTCATTTTTAATCATAAACGTATTGCGCTTGTTTATTATTTATGTAATAGGTAGTAGGGATTTATGCAGGTAGGTGCAAAAATTAATAACGCCTAATGTAAGATAACGCCTTTCCCGCTAAATCTACAACAAACTGTCATAAGTTAACAAGAAATTGTATTCCAGCAAAAGAGGTACAAGTTTGCTCGTCGTAGAATCGCTGACTGCACCAACAGTGAGACTTCCACACATACTTCAGTTTTTCATTTTAATAGTATTTTGATATAGGTTAAAAATGCATTTCCAAATCCTCCGTACCACCTCAACTAAATGCACTTTGACTTACTCCAGTTCTATGAATACATCACAATGGCTGACTGGGTCCCTCTGGCGGTTCTACTTTATCCGTATAACCATCGGGAGCAGTGTTGGCCTAGTGGTTTCAGCGTGCGACTGTTATCCCTGAGGTCGTAGGTTCGATCCCCGGCTGTGCACCAATGGACTTTCTTTCTATGTGCACATTTAACATTAGCTCGAACGGTGAAGGGAAACATCGTGAGGAAACCGACATGTGACACCCAAAAAGTCGACAGCGTGTGTCAGGCACTGCAGGCTGATCACCTTCTTGCCTATTAGATTTAAAAATGATCATGAAACAATTTCAGAAATCTGAGGCATACCCAAAGAGGTTGTAGCGCCACTGATTTTGGGATTGATTTTAGTGACTGGGCATCCATTCTGAATATCCTTTTATAAAAGTGTTCATGATGTTTGTTGCAATGTGCTCTATACCTGTTTTGTTTTTACCAAACCGACCAACATTTTTACCAATCGTAATGAATCAGCCATTTGTTGTATGTAATGGTGACTTTCACTTATTACCTTTAATTTGTATATCTAATCTCGATTTATCGTTATTTTCGAAATAATAATAAATCCTCTAGTGGTACACTTGTTTGAATTGACCTTTAACCCGAATCGTAACGATTATTATTATAACATTATTTGCTTAGAGCATTCGGTGTTATAATGAAATATTTATAGATTACTATTTGGAATGTGTCCTAAATCTAATGTTTTATATATTTATTATTTTCTGTGGTAATTCGGTCGTTTTTATGAATACTATGCGGTAAAAGTAGTAAAACAATAATAATATATATTTGAAGTGTTTGTATTAAAATGTTAGTCGCAGTGATTCAGCATATCCTCGCTATCTTTTCACAATTATCATCGTGACTTTACAAATTACATAGGTTACTTATAATCGTACTGTGCTTATACATGATTTGTGTAATTGAATTGTTTTTTTTATTTTTTCCATTTATATAATGACCGTTTTTAATTCGATAATGCATGTTTACGTAGTAGTTAATAATAGAAAGATTATTGTATAACACCAACACAACCTGGAGCCAACGTACTCTAACTACTTGAGGATAAACTCGTTTAAACAAATTTTATTTCTCAGCTTAAAAGGAAGTTAAAAAAGTGCATTAAGTGGTTCTTGAAAAGGCGATGGTATCTCATCATCACCTGGTAATCGAACCGGATTAAGTCCGAAAAAAAAGAAAAATTAATTTATAAAATATTGAATGAGTATAAAAACATTTTAAAGTTAATCCAGGCGTGATGGGTATTTCAGTGCCCTCGGCGCGTATCCTGGGTGGCCCCGACCTTCATGTGGATATGGGATCCACCATCAATCTGACCTGCCTCATCCAGTTCAGCCCCGAGCCCCCTGCCTACGTGTTCTGGTACCACGAGGACGAGGTGAGCGGCCGAAAAGTAATTATTCACTTCTACTACTTTGTTATAGCTTAGAAGCTTAGAGCTTGTCACTCTCGCCTTGCGCCACATTTACATAATGTTTTTATGAGAACTTCTCAATTAATATCATTGCTCCATAATATAATGTATCCATAGCGCATACGTATCGTCTGAAAATCTGCAAACTCAAACCGGATTTCATAATAAATCACATCTGAAACCCTTTAAATCTAATTCCCGCCTAGACAACAAAATCTAATCAACTCAGGGCCATTAGCCGCAACCCACTTTTATGAGTTGCTTCTTCGTCAACGATACGGTGAGTGACGATGGAACGACACGTGTAGCTAAACTATTACATGTCTAATTAAAACCGTGTCAACGGTGTTTCCAAGTCTGATTAAAATAATAATTCTCTCACGAGATTACAGGATTCTCATATTTTAAAGTGAATTATTGTGAGTCCAAAGTGCAAGTGTAAAGCAGAGTAGTGAAGGTGGCGTGGGTGTGAAGCAGGTGATCTCGTACGATTCGGCGCGCGGCGGCGTGTCGGTTGTGACGGAGAAGGGCGCGGCCACGACGTCGTATCTGCTGGTGCAGGACGCAGCGCCCGCCGACTCAGGCCGCTACTCCTGCGCACCCTCTAACGCCGACCTAGCCTCCGTGCGAGTGCATGTGCTCAATGGTGAGAGGGATTTAGATTATTTCCGGGCTGCACATTCTACATTATTTTTACACTAATTCAATATCTTCTTGAAAATTAAAAAACTCAATCATTGAATGTTTATTCTGGGCCAACGTCCAAAGCGTCAACAGTTAGTCCACGAATATTAGGAGTTTCGCCTCGGAATGGCATAAACTTGTATTAACCTTTATTTTGGTACCCTAAACTTGTAATTTTTTAATAACTACTTTTATAATGAATATTCAAAGTCAAAGTCAAAGTCAAATCGTTTATTTCAATTAGACCATCTAAAATGGCACTTTTGAACGTCAAAAAAAAAAATATAAAGATGATTCTAGTTGCCCCTTCCAAAAGGTAGTTTCGTGTGGAGAAGAATGGGCAAGAAACTCCACACTTACTCTTTTAAAATAGGTTTACAATATTTTGTTACATTTGTTAAATAATTATATGTGAAGACAATGTACTCTTAGAATAAACTACTATACTAAAAAAGTTAGTATACATGTTCCTCACATATTTACAAATATCGAAACCTTAGAATATGAACATTAAAGAGTAATAAAAATATTAAAAAAACACAACAAAACAGTGTGTGAGATACAAAAAAAAATAATTACATTTGTAGCATTATATAAATTAAAAAAAATAATAATAATAATAACAAAAATATGTTAAAGCAAAAAATCAGCAACCAATTTGATTTTGTCCAGGCTATAGAGCCAATCATAGGATTGTCCTATGGAGCAGGACCAGCATGTTTCCAAGCATTCTTATCTTGAATATAATCATCTAATTTGTAATATGCTTGTTTACAAAGTGTACTTTTAATAAAACATTTAAATTTTCGTTCATTTAGTTTTAAAATGTCACGTACCTTGTGACATTTTAAAACTAAATGAACGTTATTTTATTGTAACATTTCACACAGTACCCCTTAAGTGAATTTTGAACTTTGGCTAATCTGAAAGATGGTTGAGCTATTTTATCTTTATTTCTAGTACTAAAATTATGTCTTTCATTTATTTTACTAAAAAGATGTAGATTCTTTCTTACATACATAATATTTTCATAAATAAATTGGCAAGGTACTGTCATAATATTAATCTTTTTAAATAGTTCCCTGAGAGATTCGCAACGACGTAGATTATAAATGGCTCTGACCGCTCTCTTTTGCAAAATAAAAATGGATTCTATGTCAGCAGCCCGACCCCACAGTAAAATGCCGTAAGACATTATGCTGTGAAAGTAGCTAAAATAGACCAAACGCGCAGTTTCTGCATTGGTTAAATATCTTATCTTTCTAACCGCATAAACGGCTGAGCTCAGCCGCCCCGCAAGAGATGTGATGTGATGTGTATTTTTTTGAGTAATTCAGTATATATTCATTTAATATCTAATACTCGTTTAATATTATTGTGTAAAGTTATTAGGGGAAATTCTTGAAATATTTTTAATTCTAACTTTATTTATGATAAATACATATAGCATAAAACCAAAAGAAAACGTGATACTTGCAAAAGATGTGTAAAAAACGATTTTTTTATCTTTGACCTCGGAAAATCTGGAGTCACGGATAACCTACCATAAGTAAGTTTTAAGACTAGTTTTAGGGTACTAAAATAAAGGTTGACTGACTATCTCTCGTTCCTAGATACTTGCCCTTATTTGACTAATATTCCTTCTGTGCTAAGTGGCTTTTAACGCTGATGTGTGTTGTTCTGGACCAGAACTCTCGCATCGTGTAAATGTTGCGCTCTAGAGTATGTCGTCTTTGATATGCGCTGTGTGTGGACAGGCGAGCGACCGGCGGCGATGCAGACGGGATCGGCGGGTCTGTCGGACAGCTCGCGGGCTATCGCGCTGCTGCTGGCCGCCTCGCTACTGCACGCGCGTCTGCGCTCCGCACTACTCGCGAGCTGATCGCCGCCCAATTACACGCGTCTTAACTAAGGTTTTTAATGAGCGAAATATAACTGCGAGTCCTCTGGATTCATATTCACCGCGGGGGCGTTCTTAGACGACGTCGCCGTGGTCGTGAAAGCGATTGACGAACCGGTGCCGGCTACTCTTGTACAGAAAATCTTATTTCTTAATTAAATAACTTACGAATAAAGGATAAATGTGTAATTAAAACTCAGAGAATCGTTACATAATTGTTATAACGTAAGTGAAATAGAACGTCTCACAATTAGATTTTTGTAAAACTTCGCTCGAATTAGCCGTTGTAAATAGAGTATCTACGTACGGCACGGTAAGGGCGGATTAACAGCGTGGTTCGCGGCAGACGGCACAAGCAAGTAACTGACGGGTCCTACTCTAACAACTCCTCTGGTCTGAGTATCCAGTGATGAAAGTTATCAACTCTTTTTGGACTCGAACGAAAGGTATCAAATTTTGTCTTAAAGACGCATTTATAACTCGATCGTTGTTCCGAGTTAAACTATTCACTGTATATAATCTTATTTTAAATATTATTTTTATCAGGGAAAGTTATAACTAATTCAGAGTCCAGGATACGATGACCAGTCATAGGAGCAAATTAAATTCACATTTGTCAGTGTAAAATTGATATTTTTAAGATTGATTATACGTTTAATATTGAATTATCTTGTTGAAAGTCTTAAAAAGCTGTATTGTAACGACGGTGGTATTCCAAATTAATTAATAAATATGGTTTACTGATTAGTATTCGTCAATTTAAAATAAGTGTGTAATGTTTTTATACCGCGCCACTCTAGAAATAGGAACCTCAAATAATAATAATTGTTATACAAAAGATTATAGAGGAACAGATCAGTTGATCGTTATCTTTTGCTGTTCGTGTAAATAACTATTTCACGAGTACCATTAAATGTTATTGTAATCTACGAGAGAGGTTTGAGTATAGGTACTTGTTTGGAACAGTAACAACATAATAGTTATGGCGGTCATGCTTGTTTCATTGTAATTCTATTATTTTGTTTTCAGATGTAATTAATAAAATCTGTAAATCATGATGATGTAATTTAATTTTGTATATTGAATGATTTCGTGTTCAAGGAATTGAAATCGTTGTGAGAATTAATTTGGTAATTCTTCAATCTAGCGAATTTAAATTTATTTTTGTGCTAAATTCCTAAACACAGTAAAACAACTATATTTATAAATATAGAGAATTAATTTAATCAATCTTCTGTTAGATAGATTGAGAAAATACTGGTTACTTCTCAACCTATTTATTGTAACAAAGTACAAGGTTACACTTGTGTGAATCTGCACGTCTGCTTCTATATTTCTAACGAATCAAAGTTTGATGAAATAGAAATATGTCGGTTGTATATCAAACTTTAGTCACATTTTATAGATAAAATCTTGCTATTTGTTCAATAATAAATTGAGTGGTGACGGAGACAAATCGTGATATTTCTCTTCCTTCACCCAACGCCCTAAAGGTATGTTTGAAAGGTCTGTCCGTCTGAGGCCGTGGCGACTGGCGAAGCGCCCACCGCTGACCGCACATTACAATACGATATTAGATATGAACAGACGATACATTGTAAATGTTAGTTGCGTTGACGTCTGTATAGTGTACATGTAAATATAACTACAAAATAGTCAAAGTTTTACAATAAATTCGATTTAAGTAGACACTTTTAAATATTATGTACTATAAGAAGACTATGTTAACAAAACTATATGTATACATAAATCATATAAGTTTGTTTTCAAATAAAATATTTAATATTAAAATGGTTTTATTTCAACTTTAACCACAACATTTAACTACAACATACTTCTTTTCATTTAGGAAGTTGCCTAATTTTTATTTGTTGGTTAAATATAAAGATTTTTCTTGTCACACTCAAAATTGACACATAAATGCGCTACTAGTATTAAATTAAAATGAATTTAGCTAGCACTAACCTTTAAAAGACACGTGTATAAATTTGACCATTGTCGTACTATTAGTATGTGACTAGTATTTTGAGTGAAGGAACTTTTGTTTGTTTAAAAAAATTATAAAAAGAAATTTCGTATGTTAATAAAGCATTGCTTTTTGGTATAAAAAAATAGTATTGAAGCCAACGCTTGACTTGATAAACATTATTCGGACTCTGCACCAGGAAAATTAACCGTTGAGAAGTGGTTTGAGAGCGCACCAAGTCTTAATAGGCCGGACACGCACTTGCGAACCTTTTGGCAATGTCCATGGACGACGGTATCTTTTAGCATCGGATGAGAGAAAATAAAAAAAAACGTTGTACGTAGTGGACGCCCCAAAGCGGTTGTTACCGACAAAAACATCCATCCGCATCCACCTTATTCTCTAGATTTTCAGCGACTTTTTCCTGTTCTCAGACCCTTAAGAGAATACTTGCTGGATATAAATTTCCCGTTCATGAAGAAGTAATCGCCGAAACTGAGGCTTATTTTGAGGCTAAAGACAAATCGTACTATAAAAATGGTATCTAAAAGTGTATGACCGCTATAAACGTTGTATCGCTCTCGAACTAAGTATATTGAATTATCAAAAAATAAAGATTTTTTACTATGTTAGCCTACGAACTTTCCAGCCCACCTAATACCAACTTACCTATCTACCGTCAGGTATCTGAATTTCTTACAATACAAAGTACAGATGCGATATTCGCCTGTTATCATTACATATATCAGCCTGTTATCTGAGTATGATGTGTTCAATTGTGAGTCGAGGACGCGAGCCCCGACCTCAGTACATAACATGTCCGCGCGTCTCACTCAGTAAGGCTTACACGCCCGGCGCAAACGCACGTCAGCGATAAACAGCCACAAGAACTGTATGTGAGCAGATATGAGCTCGGAAAAACAGTTTACGCGAAATGAAGTGTCTCGGAGGAATAACAAAAGTGACCTGCTAATAATCATCGACAACCGCGTGTACGACCTGACTAAGTTCCAGGATGACCATCCGGGTGGCCACGAGGTGTTTTTGCAGGTTGCAGGACAGGAAGCCAGCGAAATGTTCCATGACGTTGGTCACAGTCTCGACGCCAAAGAACTTATGGTGAAGTATTGTTTGGGCGAGGTGGTAGCTGCCGATCGCATCGAGCCGGAGACTCCACAGCGCTCCTGGAGCGAAACTGACCCGCCAACTACGCTCTCGTCTGACTCTGGCTCCGCTGCCTGGCATCTGCCCGTAGTTCTGGGCGTTCTCGCCACGCTGCTTTACTACTTGCTGTTCTAGAAAGGACTTCTATGGCACGAGCTATAGAACGTGATACGCCTAGTTAGTATTGTGCGGAGTATAGTGATTTGTGTTTATGTTATGATAATTTATAGCGAGCGATATGCCGCATAGTTCAATAATAATAATGAAAAAGTAAGTAAGGCGTATTAGTGCATTACGATTATGTAGTTCTATACTACATTTCATTCTTTGTGTGTGACAGAGACAATAACATAATTGACGAAGTTTATTCGTCTTAGTCTCGCACGTTATGGCTCGTTAAATTAAAAGCCAGTCATGACTCCCGAGTCCCGAAATTCAATGACACAATGACAATTGAAGCTCTGGGTGGACTAATAACATCTTTGGACGTTGCTTTTCTCGGCTGCTTAGTTTCTTCATCAGACTAGAGGTTATTTATTAGGAAAAACATTACAGGCATCAACTAACTGAAAAATAATATAAATTTAAATTAATTTAGCATTTAATAATCTATGGTGGTTAAATATTTCAATGGAACTTTTGTAATAAAGGTGTTTTATAAAATTTGGATGTTTTGATTGTTTATCGTGTATATTCCCTACCAATGTGAATAACGTAGTGTCTATGCCAATTGGAAGATAATAATTACACAGTGCCACGTATTACGTAAACTTTCTTTTATTTATGTAGGTTCCGGGTGTCAATTCTTTAGTACAACCATTTCTTAATTTAACCTCGTGACCAACTAAAATATTGAATACTTATCATAATAATAAAAACAACAAAGCAAACGTTTCGCATCTATCAGCAGAAAGAATAGTAAAATACCAGCACGGACTCACATTATTATTTTGAACCCACCTTGAATGCCCTCATTTTTAAGCACAAAAGGGCAGGAGGCTCACCTGATGTTAAATGATAACATGGACACTCACTTTCCAGAAGGCTCGCAAGTGCGTTGCCTCATAGAGAATAAACAGCTATACATAAATCACAGCTGTTTTTTATAAAAACTAAATGACCTTGAACAACTCGGCAGCGTAAATAATAACATAACTGGTATAAAATTTGCTTCGTAATGTATTTAGGACTACCTATTCACAGCTTGGATTTTTTTATTTTAATTATCTATTTTTCCGAAAACAAGAAGTTAAAATGACCAAATAAATTAATAGTATATACGCAATATTAATAAATGATTGCGTACATTAGTTCACATTTACTTTAGGTATTACGTATTTGTAAATCTTGAGCAATCAATGAACGCAAACTTGCCTCGTGACGTGAATGTCCTACTGGACTAGTTAGCCTTCAGCGCCGAACATCCATTAAACAAATATAACTCAACGATTTTATTCAAGTTTATTTACAAAATAATAAATACTATATCACACTTAGACCATAATTCACAGTTCTATCAAAACCTACCCAAATCTAAACAAGATATTGACAAAAAATTTAATATGTTATATAGTAAAATCTTAGAATATTTTGTTTAAACGGATTTCGGATCACATTTCATTTCCATAACCTCATTAGTATATCCTTGTCTGTTATATTATATTGAAAGCACATTTTAATTATATTAGTTCACACAGTGGTGTCAAGTTTTTACGAACGAAACTTAATTTTCCACCAATGTCCCATATCCACAGTATCTCAGAAATCATTCCCAAAGAACGAGTTAAAAGAAATAAAGGTATCCGAGAACAGCAACGGCTGCGAACAGCAGCGGCGGCGCTAGTACGTCCAACGCTCCGCTCCAGGTGAGCTTCGTAGCGGCGACATCAAGCGCCGGAGGTGGCGTGACTACCTCCCAATGATCTTCGGGTGCTATCTCCCCGATGCGGAAGCGCTCGCGCCAGGCACGTGCGTCCTCACTATGGCCAACCTCGTGAAAGCAGCGAGAGGCGTCGCGGCCGGCGTTGTTCAGTAACACTTCGGGCCCTCCGGGGTGGTCTTCCAGGAAGCCGCTAACATCATACACTACGTTATCAATGATGATTGCCGCGTTTTCCTTGCTCTCGAGCTCGCTTACCTGCTGCCGCGTGAATATTTTCGCCATGGCTGCACGTGTGAACTCGCTCGTACTTCACCTCCGAATGGTGGACGTTACCTAATCCAACCTTTGCGTCATGTTCTGACCCTCATGAATATTAAATTAAATATTCAACGTTAATAAACATAATTGTTTGTTAGGTTTCTGATAAAATTCGAATTAATTGACCAAATGCCTACTTGGTCCGACTTAAGTTATGGTACCAATAATAATTCTACTTTATTCATGAAAAATATAATAACTTTTATAAGTATAATGCTATAACGGATATAAACGTGAATGTAGTAATTATTTACACAACTCGACGTTTTGAATATTAATAAGTTACTTTTAAATGTAAGTATCTAATGCGGATTATAGTAGATATATCGTATCTTAGTGTCAGAGTAATATCGGTGTTTGTAACCAAAGGAAGTTTATTATGATAATAATAACATTAACTGATGTCTACGTATTATGCGTTAAATTTCCATGACGACGAATTTCTTTCCCAACTTTATTCTAATCTATTCTTTGAAACAAACAAACCTAATAGAAAAATGTTAACTTGAATATTTATGTTTTTGAAAATGAAATTGGTCATCATTGGTGGGACATAACATGTATGAAGATTAGTAGAAGCAAGTAAGTATGAAGTATATCCGAACCAATACTATTTAGGATCCTTCAATAAAGAGCGTAAAAAATTTCTTAAAACTCTGGCAATACACTCGCGAGGCTTCTGGCAATGTATATCTGGTATCATTAAACATCAAATAAGCCTCCTGCCCAATTGCCCTCTGTTACATAAAACTACCTAGACTTTTAAAACTATCGGCTATTATTTTTATACTCGTATATGCTTTCATTTTTTTATGCGAGGTCAAAAAGCATTTGCGTATTACCTGCCTCAGAAAGTTAAAGGGTATGTCTCAACCCACCCCAAAATCTCTGCTATTCAGAGATTGGGTTAGTAATACCTACTAATTTTTACATTCTTTTCCTAATACTAAAAATATATGAATCGTTTTAAGGCTTGGTTACTAGTGCAGTTGGCACTTGACGCATCATTAGACGTTTATTATGTATTTAAATATCGCAAAGTTACTCATTTGCATTTCAAATTGAAACATTTAACATGGACAAAGAGATTAAAGCCCAATGCTGTACCAACATTGTTATTACCAGGTACGCTACATGTGATATGGAAAATTAGTTTTATTATACATAATAAAATTAATATTCATAATAATCTAAATCATATGAAAAAAATGACAACTTTGAAAAAAAAATAAAACCTCCACTACCTAACTCTTCATGAGAATACATAATTGTAATACCTCACAGATAATCATTTATGATAAAAATACCATCTAGGAAATCTGATTTGTAAGGCAATCAGAATTTATAGTATCGAAAATGAACATAATAAACATACTAGAATATTATGTGCTATTTCTCTTTATCTTTCAGATGTAATATATTAAATATAAAGGTTTTATTAAACTGTTAGTAATATGAATTCATTTATCTTGGTTGAAAAGAATGTAGTTAATAAAGGGTTAATTATTATAAATATTTAACAATGCCAGATAGCAAGAGAAATAAACTGAAGTAGTTGTACTATACGTATAAAGAATTTTATTTAAAGAAAAACGCTTTTTACCGGATTAAAGTTATGTTTATTATTATAAATTTACAACTATTTGACATAATTTTAAATTTATCCGACGTTTCGCGTGCTTTACAGCGTGCGTGGTCACCGTGACGTAAATGTGTAAAGGTTATGTTAATCAAAGACGTATTGTCTTTGAAGAAGAAAGAAGAGAATGAGATAGAGAGAGAGAGATAAGAATTTTATTATTATAATTTTACGTTATTGCTATTATTGATATAATCATTCAGTTAATATATTTTGTAATAAACTAGTAACCTATTTGGAAGGAGTCTAAGATTTTTATATTTTTATTTGTTAAAAAAACAATCAGACATAATACAAGCACTTGTATTTTCAATATGCATGTTTTTATGGTAATTTACACCATTTTTGTTGATAGTTGATATTATATTTTTATTATGAAGAAGATAGAAATATGGTACTAAGCTTTTACAAGAGAAGTCTAAGAGCATGAATTTGGTTGTATGTATAGGTATGGCTCCAAAAAAAATTTTGTCTTGCAGATATTCAATGACATTAAGTAGACTATCAGAGTACTTAATGTACTAATGTCATTGTTTCGAAGCGTGGAATAATTTACTAGCAGGCCTAGATGAAAATATATTTCAACAACTACAAAAGAGGAAACATGCTTTTGAATATTTGAAGAAAAACAACAATAAAAAGCAATAAATAATATTTTATTAATTTCATTTACTCCACTATTACTAAACCATGGCAGGTAGACACTTATAAATCGAGAATGGACTGATTTTATTTATAACCTTTGAAGGATTTCACCGATTCAGCAAGTTAAACAATAAGAGAACAGGAAGAGCTTATTTGGCCCTCCGACTTATTAGGAAACATAATACAATTTATTTTTAGGTAAAATTTACATATTATACGTTCCGTTTACATCCGAGGTCCATATAGATGTTTTTACCTACAGCTACTTATAATACAATATCTAAACAATTACATTATCCACAAAAGCCAAAAAAGGAATACACATTCAAATATAAACAGTTAACAATAATTATTACCTACTTACAAAAAGAAACATAATATAACAAAATACAATAACGATAAACAAGAATTCTCGTAGCTTGCTTTAACGCGGTAAAAAGTTAGTTCCAATTCCACATGCTGGGCGTAGTCGGCGGTGTTATGTAAAAGAAAGGGATCGGTAACTAGCTTGGTATTTTGATTTGATGGTTTTGGAAACGGAAGCATTGTACTCTCAAAATGGCCCTCGAATGTCAAGCGGAACACAATAATGTTTATCAGCATGGGCCTTGGTAACGTGAAATTCTATGCCTACGCACGTTTTGTAGTATATTAGTTAGCACAACGATCTCCAGGTAGCGCTAGTGCGCTACTATGTCGAGTGTTGACTCTATATCCTATATATAATGTACTCTGTGGCACATACGTCAAGTTCGATTGTGCGCCGTCTGATAGTCTAATGTCTATCTAGTTTCTGTTTACACTTTACAACATTTAGAAACAAAATAAACATAGTTTTGAGTAGGGTATATTTTTTTTGATAAAGACAAAAATAAATATCATGAGTGTCATCGAACGTTTAAGTGGTGAAAGAGTTTATAAGAATATCAATAAATACATTTATGTTTAATGCCTATAACCGAAGGCAATCTTAAAAAAATACAAAGTACTATAATTATAGGCTATATATGAAATTGAACGATGAAATTGGTAAGTTTATTCAAATTTTTATGATATGTAACAGAATTTAATAAGAAACCTTATTAATAAAAATAAATACCTTATCTCCGTAGTACTGTTTGAGCAGCGACGCAGCGAAACCATGTTTCGTGTTGTCTTTCAAGGAGCTGCTAATAATGTTGGACTGTGGGCTGTCGGCGCACTCAGTACTTAACTTCCTACCTCTGCCGCCGGTGCCGAGCACGCGTCTGGCATCTCTTCCCACTTACACTCCACCTCATATAAATGATCCTTTACTTGAAGGGGTAATTCTTTGCTGTTAAAATTTTACTATAGTTTGAACATGTAACTCATTCCAGTGCCAAAATAAGATTTTAAAATGGCCAATAACATTATACAATTTCAGCAGTGTGTACATTAATATTATTTGATTCTGTTGCAAATCTCTTTTGAGATAATAGTCTCACGACACTGCTACTTCTCTATTGGTTTTGACTGTTCCTTGCTATATAAATATAATAATACAAGTCTTTATTCAGACAAGATACAATTTTACTTAATCTAAAATATACATTATATATGATTAATATTGAAAAAATTTACTTAAATATAGTTGAATATTTACATTCCCTCGACAACCTTTGCTGTTTGCCTTTTGTTGGCAAAGGCCTCCTCCAATTGTCACCATAAATTTCAGACCTGGGCAGTTCGTGTCCACATGCCACCTGCCACGGCTCTTATTTGATACTATATACTACTATAGGCAAAATTTATACCATTTTTTTTAAATCTACACTTGGCATATTTTCTACCTATGACACTGCAAAGTTTTGTACAAATTATCTAAAAATAGTATACTATTATGAACAATATAAGGTCTTATTAAAGTATAATCCAAAAACTAAATTAAAAAATTTAGGAATTGAAGGAGTGCTGTGGACGTGTGTTTGTGGACAGCGTGCCAGAATTCTGCCCCCCCTTGGACAAGGTGGTGGATTTCTCTCAATTAGATGTCATTCTAATCTCTAACTACACATGCATGATGGCCCTGCCATTCATCACAGAGGAGACGGGATTCAAAGGACAAGTGTATGCCACTGAGCCCACTCTGCAGATTGGAAGGTGACGTTCAAACTAATGCGTGGCTTAAGCTCCGTTTAGGGCAGAATGTCTATAGAGAATGTTGTGCAGGTTCTACTTAGAAGAGCTGTCAGAGTGGCTGAGCGAGGGCGGCGCTACGGGCGAGGGCGGACCTGGGGCTCGGCGCTGGAAGGAGCTGGTACACCTGCTGCCGCCGCCGCTGGCGCAGGCGGTCCGGCCTCGCGCCTGGCGCCGACTGTTTTCGGCGGCGGCGCTGGCGCGCTCATTGGCTCGCGTTCGCGTGGTCGGTTACGACGAGCGCGTCGACCTATACGGCGCGCTCGACGCGACCGCCGTCTCCTCCGGCTTCTGCCTCGGCTCGGCCAATTGGGTGCTGCGCTCGGCACACGAGAAGGTCGCCTACGTGAGTGGTTCGAGTACGCTCACGACGCATCCGCGCCCAATTAACCAGGCGGCGCTGCGCGGCGCAGACCTGCTCGTGCTGGCGGCGCTCACGCAGACGCCCGCGCACAACCCGGACCACATGCTCGGCGACCTGTGCGTGCACGCCGCGCTCACGCTCCGCTCCGGCGGCTCCGTGCTCCTGCCCGTGTACCCGAGTGGCGTGCTCTACGACCTGCTAGAGTGCCTGTCGGCGCACCTCGAGGGCGCCGGGCTCGGCGGCGTGCCGCTCTACGTGATCTCGCCGGTGGCCGACGCGTCACTGGCCTACAGCAACATCCTGGCCGAGTGGGTGTCGGGTGGCAAGCAGGCGCGCGTTGCTTTGCCCGAAGAGCCCTTCCCTCACGCGGCGCTCGCTCGCGCCGGCCGCCTGCGCCACGCCAAGGCGCTCCATCACCTCCCCGACTTCCGCCAGCCCTGCGTCGTCTTCGCCGGACACCCCAGCCTGCGTTTCGGCGCCGCCGTGCACCTGCTCGAGCTGTGGGCGTCGAACCCGGCGCACGCCGTCATCTTCACCGGTAGGCCTCGCCCGTCACACGCCTCGGACGGGCCTACCGACCGACTGTACCGCGCCCTTTTCTGTCCGCAGAGCCGGACTTTCCGTACGTCGAAGCGCTGGCGCCGTTCCAGCCACTCGCCATGAAGGCGTTCCACTGCCCGATCGACACGTCGCTGAACTACTCGCAGGCGAACAAGTTGGTCCGCGAGCTGCGGCCGCGCGAGCTCGCGCTGCCCGAGCAGTACGCGGCGGGCGGCGGGGCCGGGCGGCCGCACGTCGGCGCCGATGTGCCGACGGTCGTCGTGAAGCGCGGCGCGGCCAAGGCCGCTACGGTCCGGAGGCGGGCCGCGCGCGGTACGCTCTGCGGCACACTGGCGGCGCGGGCGGTTCCGCGCGAGGTGGCCGGCGGCTCGGGTGGGCTGCGGGCGGCACCGCTGGCGGCCGAACTGAGGGTGCGCGACGCGCGAGTGGAGCTGGTAGCCCCTCCCGCGCCGGCCCGAGCGGCCCCTCTGCACTGGAGCAGCCCGGACGTGGAGGCGCTGGTGCGGGCGCTGGCTCGCGAGGGGGGTGGGGTCGGCGCGGGTGGAGGCGGGCGCGGAGGGCGAGGGCGGCAGCATCGTGCATCTGCCGCGGCACGACACACTCGTGCACGTCGAGCCTCACGCCACGCACGTCTTCTGCGAGGGTCGTCCGGACGTGCGCCAAGCGCTACGCCGCGCGCTCGCCGCCTGCCTGCCGCACGTGTAGACGGACGTCGCCTTTTTTTCTAAATAAAACTTTACCAAATCCGTGTTTGTTTCAATCGCGTCTTTATTGTCCTAATTTAATCGCGGAGCAGTTCAGAAGATAAAGTTCGATGGAGGAGAGTCAAAATTCATTCCCGCCATTAATGAGTTACAGATTTGTAAACGACGGCAACTTATTAAGAATAAGCGGGACCACTGACTCTTCAAAGCCTCGGCCAGGATTCACCTAAGCCTAGCACGATATAGTCTGCCCCGGTGACCTCGAAAAGTCTGTTGTGCTCTCGACATACTTTAGAGGTGATTTAGCTGTTGACAACTTTTTGCAAAACACCTGATCCACAATCCAACATGAGTCTCCCTCTCATTCGTTAATTTTAACTATTTTAGGTGTCTAAAAAATAAAAAAAATAAAAATATTCAGACATTATTTTTACATGAGTAATGTACAAGTTTAGTGCATTGTTAAATTAAGAAAAAAAATTCAATAATTAGACATTAAAATAGCACATTTATTTAAACAAAAATATATTTGTAACATTAAACATTTATTGACCTTTTTATAAATAAAAGAAGATTCCTGAAACAATATGACTTACTCATTAACAGTACGAATATTCATAAACAATGATGAGTCCGACTCACTCCAGCTATTGTTTGACACATTGCTATTACAACAACGGTTACTTTTATAATGAATTTATTCTGCATACATATTTTTTAATACAGTTGCTCAAAAAGTAGCGTATTGCATGGACGTGGGCTCACATATCGAGCTTTTTCTTTACCTTTTCCGTTTTCTTTTACATTTGTTTCAGTATCGGATTTAATGATTTGATTCAATTAGTTAGTTTAGGTTTCATTTCATATCAATAAAAAAATCTACTGAAGACTTGGCTGTATGGGCATAGTTTCCTTTGCCTACCCGGCAGACGATTTTACGGTTGGCGCCATTTTCCAAAAATGTTCTTGGCGAGTTTAGTTGTTTGTTGCACAAAATGACGATATTTTATTTGAATTAACACCACCGTAACTCAGTATAATTGCACAAAATGCTTCGGAGAACATTTTTCCGGAAAAGTCAAAAAGTCGCTACATATCCACATACGACAAATTTATTGCGTGGAGAGAAAAGAAAAAATCAAATAGTTTATCAAATTGCTTAATTTTTTCGCAACTGTATTAAAAATCATTCACATGCGGAACCGCCATTGCAACTTTCCGGCTTTCCGCACTCGTAATGAAATATACTATTACCATAACAACTCGTAATATTACTAATGACAATAATCTCTAGATCAAAAAGGAAAATCATCTACGAGCAGATAGAGCATCCGTAACTCGACCCTGCCAGCGTGCGTGGACAGCGGCGAAGCGGCTTCTAGCAGTTGAGGTCGAGGTCGGCAAAGAGCGCGCCGCGCGTGGCCACCGTCAGCGCGTAATGCGCGTGCAGCTGCTGCAGCAGCTCGCGCTCGTCCAGCATTTCCAGCGCCTCGACGCGCGCGCGCTCCTCCTCGGGAAAGGCACGCCACACGGTCTCCATGTCCCAGCAGCGCGCGGCCTCGAAGCCGGCGGCCAGGAGGCGTTGCTCCTGCGCCGCGGGGTCGCGGCAGAATCGCTCACCGGCGAGAGCACAGCCGCGCGCGCTCAGGTTGCGCAGCATCACCTCGCCGAAGCGGTCGGCGAGGTTGCACTGTTCGTACAGCAATAGCACGCAACGCGGGAAGGCGGCGGCGAGGTGCGCCAGCAGAGCGTCGGCGGCGACAGGCCGCAGGTACACCAGCACGCACTCGGCCAGCAGCAGGGCGGGCGCGTCACCTCGCACGCCGGCGCCGGCTAATTTGCGAGCCACCTCGGCCACGTTGGACAGGTCACAGCCCGCTAGGTGGTAACCCTCGGCGTGCAGGTCGCCGCTGCGCACCACCACCTCGCCGTCTGTGCCACGATATCAAAACGTCACTTTTGGACTGCAGTGTGGAGACTCACCGGACTAATGTGTATGCTCCGACCTTCGGTGCAGATCTTCTCCAGCAGAGCTTTATTCCGCTTGATGATTTGACACTTCTTGCTGATCACGGAAGGGTAATCCAACTCCACAAAATTGCTGACGGCCTGCGTGGTATCTTTGAGCCGCCAATACAGGGTGTCGAATCCACAGCCCAGATTAATAATCTGGCACTTTGTACCACATCGCTATAACCAAATTTAAGCTAATTAAAGTCGAATAAAAATGTAAGCAACATTTGTTACAAGTTAAATTAGAAGATATGATAAATATATTATTATGTTATATTACAAGTAAAAAATCTCAGCAAGTACTCCCTTATGATGTCAAATACAATCTTTAATGAGTATATTAGCTGTGGTATTATGTTATATATATATTTTAAAAAATTATGTAGATATTCATTTGTTTTCAGTATTAACCACAATTGACTCGTGTACCTATATTAAAGATTAGAAATTAGGTCATGGTTTGTTTTTATTTATTCAAAACTCAAAACTATCAGTAGTTGGCCTGTAGAAGTCATCATCATCAAAAAAAACCATGATAATGGCCTGCAGTTTTACCTTTTTTAGTTGACCTGCAAACTTGTTGCCCTCCAATTTTACAGACACCATTTCAGAATAAGTTACCACAAGAACAGTATCACTTACATTTTACTTATCCTAACAAAACATGGTTGTAAATAATGATAGAGATCCTTACTTCCAGAAACTGGTGTATAAACATCTCTAATGCTTTCACTCTAGCATAGTAACCGCGGTTTATCTCTGGTGCCTTTCTGTCGACGTGTTTAGCAAAATATGTGATGTATTCATCTTTCCAGTAGCCTAGATCAACTGCGCATCGTTTACATTCGGTAGCATCGGTATTAGTGGCTATAACAGCCTCGTCTTCAACACTCCACGACATGGCATTCATAATTATTTTGATTGAGCACAGAAAACCTTAATCAACCATATCACTGTTTGTCAAAAATAATTCAGCAAGCTCCCAAAAAATATAAGTGAGAGTTATTATATATCTATTAAAGATCAACGAAGAAATAAAATATACCTATTTCCAATTAGATCATGACAGGCTTCTTACGATTACCACATTAAAAAAAAAGCATCCAATAGCACTGAACAAAAATAATTATATGTCAGCCCCTAGAAACAGTGGTCTAGCTAAATACTACCTACTAGCTAGTTAGCTGTTAGATATACAGGATTAAAAAAAGCAATTATATATCAGTCATCTATGACAAAAAGTAAATATAAATACAACAGTCAATGATAATTGAAAATAATTTTGGTTTGTCACTATTTACTCTATGATTTTGGTTCACTTATTTTTATTATAGTCTAGAATGAATAGTCAAGACGTACTCTGTGGTAATACTCTTTATATAGTATATACTCGTCTCCAATAATGCTAGAAATCAGAAAACCTTCCAACTTCCAAGTCCCACTTCCCAGTGCAGAGTGCTGTGCAAATTTAACAGATTACTAATACAAAGTAATGTTTACTTACAATCATTTTATTTGTAAAATTAAATAAAATTCGTAAAATAAACCGGTTATTTTACCACCTTTGGAAGATTATAATAATTCTTAATAGTTTTAGTTAGTACATTAAATCTATTTCTTGCTTTATCATTATTATTAGAGTGCATTCAGTTTATATCTTGACTATATAGTTGCCACTAGCAGAAAAAGTAGCAGTTGTTCAGCTTCAGAACCTGATCGCACTTTTTAACATGACTGAAAATAAGTGTTTACCAATACTGTTGATAAGCACTAGTGGTTTCACCTGTGTCGAGAAATTTTTAGCTGGTAAGTTGTCCCTTTTTCTATATAAAGTGGAAAATTTTATATTTAATTTATAGAGAATAAATAATTACATGTTGAAGATTTGTTTTCTTATTAAAAAATATATTTTTAAGAAATTAGAAGAGCTGTAGAGCTCTGTACTTGTTGACATTACTATCAAGATATATATTAACACATAATATGTTAGATTATGTGTTAGAAATGAGATTAAAAATAATATTTGTTGTGATTGTCTTTTGAGTTGAAATATTCTGTTTACCAAACACAAAAATTATACAAAGCAAAATATTGCTCTAGCATTGGGATACAGTATAATAGATTAATTTTACTACTTAAAGTAAAAATAATCTATTCATGTTCAAGTAGTAAAAGTTAAACACATGTTCACACAAGAATCAAAGAAATATCCACACAATTAATTAATTTTATGTTATGCTGGGTCACATGACACAGCATCAAACAATATAGGAATTTTATTCCAGGGGATGTGCAATCTCTCTATTAATAAATTGAGAATAATTGTAGACAATAAAATAAACATTAATCCACTCAGTTTCAGTTACTTAGAATTCAAAATTCAGACTTTTTTTGCTACAACAGATCTAGTGGAAGATCACCAGCCTGCTGACGGTATCGATACAAGCGGAAGCCGCGTGTGGCGCATACAGAACAAGTACTACCGCGCCGATGTGCGTCTGCTCGTCTGGCCGGACGGAGTGCCACCGCCGCCCTACCTCGGCGGCCGTTTTGAAGCGCACGTCATCCACTTGCGTGTAAATGAGGTAAGACTTCACGCGATCGCGTACTTCCCCCAAACCGACGAAAAGCGGCCGAATACAAAGCGTCTCTATCGCGCAGGGCGAGGAGGAAGCCGAGAGGCGTGCGATGGCTGCATATGCCGGAGGGGGACGACCACACATCCGCCTGGCAGTCTTCGAAGGGCCTGAGACCGACGGCCTGGTCGCCTGGGGCCTGCGCCGTCGATTCGAGCTCGTGCCCCTGACGTCCAAAGCCGAATCAGACGACGAGTGCGGAGCGGACAGAGCGCGAGCCGCGCTACACGCGCACATGTGGCCAGGCCTGGAGCGAGTCGACTCGTTCGGTGCAATCTGCCGTCCGCCGGACTCGCTCTCGGGGAGCAGCGACGAAGCGGACGAAGACGAAGAGCAGTGGGGCGAGTGGGAGGCGTGGGGATTGGTGGGAGCGGCGCGTGAAGCCCGCGGGGCTCTCGGGGCCGAGCCGGACGCCGAGCGGCGGCTGAGAGCGGAGACACTGCTGCAGGCCTTTCTGTCCACGTTCAGGCCTCGCGCTCCTTGATGGGGAATATTGATTATTCCTTGTCTTGTGAGCCCACTCTTCTAGGGAGACAGGAGAGGATAGGGGGACAATAAGTTCAGCCAAGTGGCTTTGGGCGCCTAACAAAAGTAAATCACCATAGTTTATCTCAACAATTTATATAAAAAATACATAGATGAAATGTGCGCTTCGGGCGGTCACTCAAATCACAGATACTGTTTATTATCTCTTTGGACGTAATTTGGTATTAAACCTTTGCTTACAACTACATGGCAGGTGTCCAATACTAGCTGCTCGCCTAATACTCTAATCTTTCAACAGCAAATAAGCTTTAAGTGTAAATATTTTTCTTACTTATCATATTAATAAATATATCCATCACAACAAATAGTGAAGTGGTCGTTAACTTAATTATTGATTCAGTTCGGTTTAGAAATCCTGAATTTGCTCGCTCCACAATGCAACGACAGGCAACAAATAAATATTAACAATTGCAAAGACAACTTAACATACGAATCACAACCTCATCACGACACAACGTCTCGGAAAGGCACGCGGCGATATCGATAGGTTTAAACGGAATGTGCGTCGGAGATCAAACGCTAAGCGGGTCCCGGAGGGGGCCGATGCAGCAGATGCGGCGAGGCCAGCAACGCGGCGAAGTATTGGTGCGTCAGCCGAGACAGGAAGTGGTCGCGCGCGACGCTCGAGGGCCACCAGCGCTCCAGGAAGCCGATGTGGCCCCCGCGCCACGGGACGGCCAGCGCCACGCGACTGCTCGCGCCCGCCTCGCGCGCCGGCAGCGCCGCCAGCGGCTGGAACGGGTCGTCGGCCGCACACACGCACAGCAGCGGCGCCCGCACGTGCCCCAGTTTGTCGCGCAGGCTGGCCTCGCGGTAGTATTGCTCGACCGACGCGAACCCGAAGTGTGGCGCCGTGAACGCCGCGTCGAACTCGCGCACCGAGCGGCTCGTCTCAGCCGCCGACCAGCGCCCGGCCAGCGCGCCGTGCGCCCGCAGCGTGCGACGTAGGCAGCGCGCCATGTGCCAAGACAGCGGCGCGTTGACCGGCCGCGCGAGGCACTCGGCCGCCCGCTCCACGTCCAGCGGCGACGACAGAACTAGCGCGGCGCGCACCCGAGTCGTCTCGCCGCGCGAGGCCAGATGGTGCGCCAGAATGAGACCGCCGAGCGACACGCCGACCGCCAGCAGCGGCCCGCCTCCCGCGCGCTCCTCCGCCGCCACGAGTGCCGCTGCCAAATCCTCGTGCGACAGCGCGCAGTACAGCTTCGGGGTCTGCGGATGCGTCGGCGGTTAAGTGTGACGTCAGAGGTGCGTGGGCGTGGCCGCCGTCACTCACCGTGAGCTGCAATCCGCCAAGTCCGCGGTTGTTAAAGACGGCACAGCGCGCGCCGAGGCCCCTCGCGGCGGCGGCCACGCAGCGTACGTAGTCGGCGTGGGCCCCTCCAGTCAACCCCGGCACGACGACCACGACGGGGGCGGCCCCGTCTGTCGGCCCGGCCCCTTCCTCTTCGACCCAGTCGAGCGCCACCTGTCCGCCGTCCGGCAGCAGCACGATTTGTCTGCAAGCAACTCCGTTCGTCACGAACGTCGCGACCGCCGGGCGTTATCGCTCGGTCTGGAGGTCACCGACCTGGTGGTGGTGAGCGGCGGTAGAAGCCGCGAGCGCAGCAGCGAGGCCAGCACGGTCTGTAGTCGCGCCTCAACGCACCAAGGTGTCGGCCAGAAAGGCTCGCGTAGAGTTTCGACTTGCGACTCCAGCAAGTCCCGAAACTCACCATCACCGCATATCAGCAGCGGTTTCTGGGACAGTGACATAAATTACCATGTTATAAAAGTAAATATGAACACGTGTAATTCACCTAGTTTATAAGATAGCTAAATGTATTTTAGTATTATTAAAGTATTTTGTCATGTAAGTAAATGTCAATATAATGTTCTTAATGAGAAATAAAAATCTTAAACTGCGTCTCTCACTCAATCATCTCTTAACATTCTACTCATTTAATTACATTGGAACAAGATACATATTGTGAGATGGAGGAAAATAAATAGTAGGTTACTTAGAACATTGAATAATAGAAGGGGGTATCAAGGAAGTTTACAGTAAGTGTGTAAAAGTAACCCGTTTTAAATGCAGTGGTGGTGCATAATATATCCAGTGTGTAAAACTATGTATGTAGTTCATAATACTGATTTTATGTGGAGGCTTCAAACTTAGTACAAATCTTTATCGCAAGAGCCATAATGGCATTGACTCTCCCTTAAAGTAGTTACGTGGCTTACTAAATCCTTAAATAATAATAGATTTTACCTTGACGACTTCCAGCAGGTAATATGAAATATAAAAGACGGATAATGATATGCAAACCAATACCTCATTTCTAAGATCAATTAAGTTAAACAATTCTGTGAACATGGTTAAAATATAAGGTAAAAAATTCACAAAAACGGCGATAACATTTCCTTGGTTTGGGCTAGTCCACAGATAATGATTAATACGTACTAGTATATTAAAGTTACAACTATATTCTTGTTATGCTAGTCCAGTTTAGGTTATGTTACTTCATACTTTTTTTTTTTTTATATATTGGCCCGCACGATTTGTGCATTGTGGCCCAGGGTCAAAAACAGGGAAACGGGTAAAAACATAAAATTATCGGCTGGAAAGGAATTTAGGAATAGAAAATAATTAATCTATAAAATAAAAGATCAATTCTTGTAAATCTACATACTAAAGGAGTGTAAGAAAACATATTTACATATATTTACGTTCATATTGTCTAAATTTTTATATTATTACTTAAGATAAAAGCTGCTAAAAGTTTATATACATTTGGGTTGTAAAGTTGAAAGTAAACTTGAAGGGAAATGAGACCTTCGAGAAATTTTCCAAAATCTCTTCTGTTATAAGAGATTTTAGCTATCGAAATACTTCAAAAACACTAAATCTTATTATATACTTTCAAGCGTTTAGTTAAAGCAAACAGGGCGATATCAATAATAACATTAAACACCTGAACTTCGAAAGGTTGTCCAACTATTTAATTTTAAACAAAGTCGTCGAGTGTAGTAGAGCCGCTAAAATGGTCTTACCTACTTTGTATTTCGCTTGATTCATTTTGATGTCTATTGCTGGTAATCTTCACAGTTGGTCAGATCCTTGGCTCTTGCTTCAATATCTGAAAATGTGGATCGCATTGCTTGGGCGTAGTCATTTAATGATTCATAAAGGGCAAATCCCGTATTAAGGTCTTGATGTCTAATCAAGCAGCGGAACACTTGTCGCTTGTAAGTCGCTTCGGACCGACTCCCGTGGGGACAACCCACAGATTGCTCTTATAATCATTGCAGCTAATGCGAATAAATATAAACTCATGATTGCATACAGAAACATTCTTTTTCAATAATAAAATGGCGGCTGATGGTGAAGAATTTAGAACGCTGGTTGTATTATATGAAATGTTACTAAAAAACTTTTCAAATGCAGAGGCTACTTCGAGGTCGGAACTAATTAATTAAACTTGTTTAATAGTGATAAAACCGCATAAAAGTGCCTTCGTAGCATCAGCTCGGGCTGACCATCTCGTGTCTAAGACGACCCCATCGAAAGCCATCATATGCATGATTGTTAATGAAGGAAATATATGTTGATATGTTCAGCTATGGGCTATTAATTCATTAAAAGCCTAAATAATTTCCATTGTGAGGTGAACCAACAATTTCGTCACCACCCCAAAAACCAAGACTTCTTTCTGCTAAAAGTAAAAAATCATTTAATCATATAAGTAATACTGTAACATATTATAATAATAATGTAACACAATGTACTCTTAGCTACAACGTACGTGTATGAACGTCAAAAAAAGAAATGTATATGAAATGCTTCTAACTTTACAATATTAATTTATACTTTATTGTATTAATGCTCTCAAATTTTATGAGGTTTGTTAGCCTCAGCCGCCCCAAAGGGCAAAGACTAGTGATAGACTAGAGATATCGGTGAGCCGCTCGCGCTGGGGCGCCAACGCAATTCTGTCGCGCAGCGTATAAATAGTGGGTGAAAGCTACAGATTAAGTAGAGCAAATGGATTAGTAGTAGAACTATTAGTGCAGTTTATAAATATATGGGTACGGTAAAGCTACGTAAATATTACTATTGTTGAAATAATTTTTGTTATTATACTGTTTTTATTGATTGCTTCAGTTCACTACTTCTCTAAAGGCAACAAAAAAATTGTATAAATTATCGATGGTGAGATGTGTAATTTTTGAAAGTATACAAAAATAATTTCGAAGGTATTTACGTGTATAAAAGATCCTGAAAAAAACAATGAAAACTACCAAGTTCGTGAGTTGTGCAAGGAGGTGCTTATGTAAACCAAGTTTTAACACCTTAAGGTAATTTTTAGTTCTTGTTAGACGTATTAAATAATGTACTTTAGACTTTGTTCGCACAGTATGAAGGTTCTTAATGACGTTGGTATCTACCTAATTTAAGACTGTCAACTATCTATGTACATGATGGCATGTAGTACAAAGGTTAAAGTGAAACCGAATGTTCAAAATAACCATATGTTCGTATGTTTACCAAATTTCTAAAGCTGAAAAAAGTTCATTTAAAATATCAGTAGAAAAACTAATAAACATAATATTTATTTTATGGCTTATTTTCAATAGATGCACTCTAATGAAACTCTGACTCAATTTAATAAGTAAAGTAGGCATATATCCTACTTTAACTTACTCACAATTAAACTTGTCTTAATTCACTAAGACTAACTACGTTATGACCAAATACAGTTTAAATAATTTTGTGGTTCTTTTGTTGGACTAGCAGCAATGTCAGCTGTATGTCAACGGAAGCCGCGGCAGCCCCAGAGCAGCGTGGTGCACGACACAGTGATTCATTCACTATGAACTTGTTCCGGGGACATTTTGAAACTGGCCAGATATTTCCCTTTCCGGAACCTCTGACCGAGGAGCAGCGGCAGACACTTGCCGAGCTCGTCCCACCCGTTGAGAAGTTTTTTGAGGAAGTATGTAATTGTGGTCAAAACTTTATCGGTGCCCATTGACAGATTCTTGACTTATATTATTAACTTAATTAAAAAATAATTTGTTGTATTTATTGCATTGATTAATCTAATTCTATTCTGGGTTAGGTGAACAATCCTGCCAAAAATGATGCAGATAGTGAAGTCGAGCCGGCTACAATGGCCGGGCTGTGGGAGCTGGGAGCATTTGGTCTGCAGGTGCCGACCGATCTAGGCGGCCTGGGTCTTAGCAACACTCAGTACGCGCGCCTCGTGGAAGTGGTGGGTGCGCACGACCTCGGCGTCGGCATCACGCTCGGCGCACACCAGTCCATCGGCTTCAAAGGCATTCTGCTCGTGGGCACGCCCGAGCAAAAGGCGCGCTATCTGCCTCGCGTCACCGGCGGAGAGTTGGCTGCCTTCTGCTTGACCGAACCCTCGTCTGGCTCCGACGCCGGATCCATAAGGTAGCCCCGTCTCTCTCTCAGTCTCTCCCCCAACCCCCCCGTCTCACCCGCTCGTCCTCTCACGACGTTCCGTTCGTAGGACTCGCGCCGTGCTCTCTTCCGACGGCGGGCATTACATTCTCAACGGGTCCAAGATATGGATCAGCAACGGGGGTATCGCGGACATCATGACCGTGTTCGCCCAGACGCCAGTCGAGAAGAACGGCAAGATGGTGGACAAGGTGACCGGATTCATCGTGGAGCGCGGCTTCGGCGGAGTGTCGTCCGGCCCACCCGAGCACAAGATGGGCATCCGCTGCTCTAACACGGCCGAGGTGTACTTCGAAGACGTGCGCGTGCCCGTCGGGAACGTGCTCGGCGGCGTCGGCGACGGCTTCAAGGTGGCCATGCAAGTGCTCAACAACGGCCGCTTCGGCATGGCGGCGGCGCTCGCCGGCACTCAGCGAGCGGCTCTGCGCCTGGCCGCCGAGCACGCCGCCACGCGCCAGCAGTTTGGGCGCCGGCTGGCGGACTTCGCGGGCGTACAGGAGAAGCTGGCGCGCATGGCGCAGCTGCAGTACGTCACCGAGTCGCTGGCCTACCTGGTCAGCGGCACCATGGACGCCGGCAAGCAGGAGTACCAGCTCGAGGTGAACGGCACGACCCGCCCCGACCCGCCCTTTCCCTTCCGACCGTACGCTTAACGTTTTCGATCGTCCGCAGGCCGCCGTATCTAAGGTGTTCGCGTCGGACTCGGCCTGGACCGCCGTGGACGAGGCCATCCAAATCCTCGGGGGCATGGGCTACATGACTTCGGCGGGGCTCGAGCGGGTTCTGCGAGATCTGCGCATCTTCCGCATCTTCGAGGGCACCAACGACATCCTGCGCCTGTTCGTGGCGCTCACGGGCATCCAGTACGCCGGATCGCACCTGCGCGAGCTGCAGCGCGCCTTCAAGAATCCCGCCGCCAACCTGGGCCTCATCTTCAGCGAGGCCGGTCGTCGCGCCACGCGCGCCGTCGGCCTGCAGAAGCCCGTCGGGCTCGACGCGCTCGTGGCGCCCGCTCTGCGCCCGGTCGCCAAGCACCTGGCGCGCGGCGCGCTCGACTTCGGCGCTTGCGTCGAGAGCGTACTGCTCAAGTACGGGCGCGACGTGGTCGAAGAGCAGCTCGTGCTCAACCGCCTCGCCGCCGCCGCCATCGACGCCACCACGTCGGCCGCCGTTCTGTCGCGCGCCTCTCGCGCCGTCCGCCTCGGCCTCCCCTCGGCCGACCACGAGCTGCGCCTGGCCGAGGCCTGGACCGAAGAGGCCACCGAGCGCATGGCGCGCCTGTCCGACGCGTTCGCGCCGCGAACTCTAGCGCGCAACGCGCGTCTCACGGCCATCGGCCGCGCCGTCAGCGCCGCCGGGGGTCAGCCGACGCGCAATCCGGTGGATCTGTGACGCGGAAATCAAACTAGCGTCGTGTACATAACGTAGATTTATTATTCTAAGAGATTAGCGATCCGAAGTAGACCGCGGCTACACGTCGACGTGGACGCAAGCGTCCCAGGCGCGCGCGTTGACCTGTTTGAGCGTGGCGCGCAGCGCGCGGCCCGGGCCCAAGGCCAGAGTGAGCGGCTGAGGCGTGTCGGGCGGCCTCGCGTACAGCGCGTGCAGCGTTTGCTCCCAGCGCACGGGCGCGGCCGTGAAGCGCTCGAGCCGGCGACGGGCGCCGGCGCCGCCGGAGACCGCCTTTCCGTCCACGCCCGACACCACGGTCACGCGTGGCGCGGCTACGGTGCAGTGCTCCAGTGCGCTGCGCACGACGGCCTCGGCGCGCGCCATGAGCGGCGTGTGGAAGGCGCCAGCCACGCCCACTCTGGCGCTTCGGCGCACGCCCCAAGCTCTGCCCTCGCGTTCCACCCACCGCAAAGCCTGCGCACACGTCGTTCTTCTATTATACCGCTAATATTTTATAAAATATATTTATTATTCTGTATCTATAGTTTCATTTCTGGTTCTTCTCTTAATTATATAAATTTTATGTCTCCGATAACGATTTAAATCTTTATGGGAGACATAAAATCAAACCACCACTGACTTCATGGATTATGAAAAATCAATGCCTCTGGTTAAAAAATGAATATCTAAAAAATAAAGGACCTGCTCATCTCCAGCTATCACTTTACAGCCGGGGTAGAGATAATTGGCGACTTGACACACGGGATCCGGCAGCGCCGGCGACACCGCCTGGTCGCGGGCGGAGCGAAGAAGCGCGGGAAGTCGCGCGTCGGGCGCCAGCCACACGGTGAGCATTCCGCCCGCCCGCTCCCTCGCCGCCGCAGCCATAGCCTCGGCGCGAAGCTCCGTCAGCCTCAGTGCCTGTTCCAACGGCAGCACGCCCGCAAACACGAACGCGGCTACTTCGCCGAGCGAAAAACCGGCCACCGCCCGCACGCGTTCGAGGGCGCCTCGCCGTGTTTCGCGAGCGAGTTCAATGGCGGCCAACGACGTCACTAGCACTGCAGTCTGGCAACGTCGCGCCAGCTCCTCTGTGGGCCCCTCTCGGCAGACTCTCACCACGTCCCATCTACTGGCAAGAGCAGGATTAAAATCGATCCTCTGGTCTTGTCACAATTCAGAATGTATTCAAATTTACAGTGCCTTACATTTATCATTACCTGCCTAATATTAAACTTTCAGAGTAATTATTATTATTAATGGCAGTACTATAATCAAATATATTTTAATACAATAGCTATATCAAGTATTATAGATTGTTATATTATAATAATTTGTAATCAAAATGCATGATAGTGTGATTATAATACATAATTGTATGAAACACCATTATTCTTGTCAGTTCTTTTAGACAAGGGTGCATTTCTTGAACTTAATCTTGGGTGAGTTTCTATGTTAATAAATGAGTTAAACTATTGATTTTATTTAACCTCGGTTGGTACAGTTGTTTTATCTTAAAAGCTAAATTAAATTTTTCTAGTTTTAAAAATTTGATACTTGCAACCAGTCACATTTAACTGGTTTCTAAATATTGCTTTTATATTAACTCTAGAATTTGGAATTGTAAGATTTTTGTTTGATATAGATTTTGATTAATGAAATAAGTAAGCATTTTTGCGAATATTATCCTTAAAATTAAATATTTTGTATTCAAAACCAAGACAGTTAATAATCACTACCAACTCTGTAACATCTAATCTAAATAAAACCGTTTTGCTTTAATTACCCCACTATAGAAGATGCAAGCTCATATAATTCCATTGCAGTAGGAATTGCATCCAGACATTTTCCCATGCCGACATATTGAGAGCCTTGGCCCGGAAACAACAAAATAGTGGAGTCACGGGGGTCGGCGGGCTCAGGCGTTGGCGGTCGTAATGGGTCACTGACTGCATAAGGTTGTGTGGCCCAGGCCAAATCACCATCTTGAGGATTTGTTTCGCCGAAAGCGCTGGCATCGCGCACTAGACGGCGGAGTGGGCTTTCAGGCTGGTCGGTACCACGCCCGGCGCTTATATACCTTCGTGCACCTCTCCGAACTGCTCGCAATGCATAGTTAAACGGCGTCATAATGACTATCACCCTATTATATGAGTCTGTAAATGTGATTAGTACCTATTACCTACTGATTAGGCTATTGAAGAACATTATTACATACGAATATTTTTAGTTATGAAATAAAATAATAAACTTAATAGATAAACTGTCACATTAATGCTGACTGTTGGCTATAGGTTATATAAATAAATTGTTTTATTTTATATATGTATTAGATTATTAGAACATTTCTTTTAAATTACGTATCAAATGTTAACACTAAACAGCAGCTGGTAACAGCAAGTTTTCATGCAGCCAGTAGCCCATACTCCATAGATATCTAATTTTACCTTTGATCTGTTATTAGTTATAGTCAAATGTCAATATACTAAACTACTACAAGCAAGAGCCAAGACCCAATACCACTAGGGAGTTTGACATTAGTTCACGGTTTGTCACGTGAAAACGTGGGGGCTGAGTCAAGGCGCCTTAACGTATACTGTATGTAGGAAGTCGAAAAATAAATTTAAATGAAAATTTGAAATTATAATGATTTAAACTAGGGTTAATATTTTTTAAATTAGAGTTTTAGTCAATCAATCAATGCGAGGATAATTTAATAGACGCAGATAAATATGAAAGAAACAAGAATATCATTCAACTAAAAAAAAGGGTGCGTGTACTTATATAGGCACCTAAGAAGTTATACTTCTTTGGCGTTCTTTATTTTTTGTAATATTAAATAATTAATAATAACTAACTAACTAACTATGTACATATATATCCAAAAATTATCCTACACTTACAACCAGTATTAACATGTGGTGCCAAAATGCGGAGCGTTTGTTGGTTTCGCAGGTACCAGGGCAGGCGATAAAAACGCGGCGCGGTAAAAGGTTGGCCCTTTTCTGCGCGCAGCCGTCTAAGCGTACGAACGTGTTCTTCTCAGAACACTTCGATATCGTAGCCATACGATAACGCTAATAAACTGTTCTTTTCAGAACAATATTATCGTATCTCGACAAAAACGTTTAACAACTGTCCTCAGGACATATTACCGTGTCTTACGACACGATGAAACTGTTCTTTTCAGAACACACGACCGTATCTATTCTGATCTGTTCTTGTCAGAACACATCACTGTTATCATTACGACACGTTAACTAATAAAATAAAATAAAAAAAAAAAATATGTTTATTATGGAACATAAGATACATGTATCACTTATTCCACGTCATTAAATTTGAAGGCATCCCTACTCATCGGCAAAGAAGACAGAGGGTGTAGGCCGAGAGAAAAAGCCGGCGTAAAAAACTCTCGGTACTCTTTTAAAACAGCAAATCATCAAACAACACTTATTTAAAACAAATATCGCAAATTGATTAGAAGTAGCCTGTCTAGCACTAGTCCCAGGCCCTTTTATCAACTAGATAATCGTTGACTTTATAGTAAGCCTTTTTACACAGCTTTTCTTTAATACATTTCTTAAATTTATTGAAAGGCAGTGATAAAAGAGCCTCTGGGATTTTATTAAAGAAGAGTATCCCTTTCCCCAAAAAAGAATTACTAACTTTAGATAGTCTAGTACGGGGAAATTGCAGCCTGCGTTTGTTCCGTGTATTAACATTGTGCGTATGTTCTATTTTAGTAAACTTATCACTATTTTTGTATACATACATAATATTTTCATAAATATATTGCGAGGGAAAGGTAAGTATATTAATTTCCTTGAATTTATCTCTAAGAGATTCCCTACATTTTAAATTATAGATTGCACGAATAGCCCTCTTCTGCAGGATGAAAATAGTTTCGACATCAGCAGCATGACCCCATAATAATAAGCCATAAGTCATTAAGCTATGAAAGTAACTAAAATAAACAAGTCTAGCTGTATCGACATCAGTTAGTGAGCGAATTTTTTTAACCGCGTAGGCTGCAGAACTAAGTCTCTTCGCCAATCCATTAATATGAGGGGACCACTGAAGTTTTGAATCCATGGTGATTCCGAGAAATACAGTTGTATCATCCAGATTCAATTCCTCACCGTTTATAATTGGTCTAGTATCCATAACCCTTGCATTTTTTGCACAAAATTTAATGCATTTTGTCTTTTTTGCATTAAGTAGAAGGTTATTCATACTAAACCAATGGACAATCGAAGACAGAGCATTGTTCACATCGTCAAAATTTGTTATTTGTCGTTTGATTTTAAAAATCAAGGACGTGTCATCAGCAAACAAAACTATCTGATGTTTTCTCTCTACCATGAAAGGTAGATCATTTATATAAACAAGAAAGAGGAAAGGGCCAAGAATTGAGCCCTGTGGTACCCCCATATCTACTGCCGACCCAGAGGACCTCTTACCATTCACTTCAACCTTCTGAGTTCTTCCGTGTAAATAGGAAGTCAGAAGATTCAGTGCGGTATTCTTGATGCCATAGTGGCGGAGTTTCCCGATTAAGGTCTCGTGTTGGACACAATCAAATGCTTTGGATAAGTCGCAGAAAACACCTAAAGCGTCATGCGACTCCTCCCAAGCCTTAACTATATATCTATATAACTCAACACCGGCATCGGCTGTCGAGCGACCCTTGGTAAAACCGAACTGATTATTATGTAATAATTTGTTTACGTTAAAATGACTTACCAGTTGATTTAATATAATTTTTTCAAATATTTTACTACAAGTAGGTAGTACGGAAATTGGTCTAAAGTTACTGGGGTCGGACATACTACCTGCTTTAAATAAAGGAATAACTTTACTATGTTTCATTAGATCGGGAAACTCGCCACTTTTAATACAATTGTTGAAAATTATAGCTAGATGGGGAGCAATTACATCAATTATGCTACTAATTATTTTTACAGAAATACCCCAAAGATCGGTAGTGTTCTTAATATCTATGGTTCTAAATATCCTCACTATATCGTCGGCACCAATGGGTCGGAATGAAAAACTGACCTTGCACTCGTTTACATTATCTTTGAGCAGCGATTCGGCGAGGGCGGGAGATGATTGAAGAGACTTAGTAGTCGAAATTGGAATGTCAGAAAAGTACTTATCAAAAAAATAAAAAAAATAAAAGTAATCACCTAAAGGGTCATTCAAAATTCTTGGCATAGCTGCTAACTTCACGCATATTCTATTTCTTTTTACTTGTAGATTGTCTTATTCCAATCTCGCTCGCGCACCTCGGCGCGCGGCTGGTTTAAAAAGAGTTCGTTAAGTGGCTGATAGACGTACGAACTTAAAGTACATACGCGGTTTTTAAGTTTGTTTCTTACGCATAAAGTTAGAAATTATTATAGTATCAAAATTTATGCTATATATAATAATTAAAAAAAAAGGGTGCGTGTACTTATGTACGCGCGTAAGAAGTTATACTTCTTTGGCATTACTAAAAATAGTTTTTAATTGCATGCAAATAATTAATTACAATTAAATAATCAGACTGGAAAAGGAGTCATTATAGTCAGTAAATTTCAGTTTACACTTGAAAAATTTAATAAATAAATATTTATTATTATTCTCTTACATTAAGTGTAACATAAATTCTATTATTATTCGAATGTTGTTTTTAAATTATGTCCAATGCCGTAGCATCTTCCGTGGGCAACTTCATTCTGTAATTTTTGTGTCACGGTGCGCGCGCATCGGAAAATTTCACTCTTATCAATTTTTCATAACGTGCCTAAAGAAGTATAACTTCAAAAAATGTGAGCCGTCACGGGACGCCTGGCAGAAGTGAAACATCGACATTATTTTGTAAAAGTAATATGCAGAAAAGAACAGATTGTGATAGAAACTCAATATGTATGTCATAATGATAAAATAAAATATTACAATTTTTTTTCCAGATAACGATGACTATATTTTATTGAATAAACATTTATTTTCATTAAATACAAAAATTTACGAATTTATTTCAAATCGTGACTACTTAATTCGTTTCATCAGTGACTGCGAAATACACACACCGTACACACCACTGCATATAGACTGTATATATGCCATCATATAGCGTGGCGACGCGTCGCCACGGCATGCGTCGCCACGCCAGAAATTGGTTTTACGTGCGGCTATAGATGTTTCACATCAAAAATAAAACATCGAGCGGTAATAATGTATTATTGTGTGTATGTATTCACTATTTACATCATAGACAATAAATAAATGTTTTATTGAAAAAATAGTTATTACCGCTCGATTTTTAATTTTTTTTTTTAATAATAAATGTCGAATAGGGATAATATTAGCTTTAAAAAAAAGATACTATTGCCAATCCAAAATTATATAAGACGAACATTATAAATTAGTCAAATTTTTACTCATTAGAGTGGTGTTATTTTGTTTATGATAGGGTGGACTAGCAGCTAGGAATTAATTAAAATGCAAAATAAATCTTGAAAAACATTGTTTTCTTGTATGAGAAAATACTTATAAGACTTATTTTGCATTTTAATTAATTCCTAGCTGCTAGTCCACCCTATCAGTGGTAGCAGAGCGTGGTTGGATAAAATATCTAGTGGAAAATGGAAGAAGCATATTTAAAATAATAAGTAAATGAGGAAAAAAAGAGGATTTTTTTAAATGAGCTCGAGTATCAGAAGCATAGATCCGTTAACAAAATCAATTTAAGATACCGTGCTTACAAGCACAGGCGATTCTCATAAGATACGATTTGTGGAAATACGCTAATGGTGAAAAAACGTTAACGGCAACTGCGACTGCCGAAGAAAAGAGTGCGTTCGTTAAAGGCAACGTCAGAGCTATTTTTACTTATATCTCCACCAGAACTACATGTGTGATACATCCAAGGAGGTATGGGACAAACTAAAGTCTTATATATTTTCTCATACAGGTAAACACAACGTTTTCAAGTACAGTGAAATTAGTCTCGAGAAATTTTTGCATATGTAGTGGTGTGTATATTACTCAGATCTTAGAGCGCGTTTCCACTATATCGTTCTGGCCTATACAAAAATGTTTCGATATCCTAACATTACTATTTAATATTATACTTATCCCTAGCAACACTCTGATTTTTGTTATCAATAAAAACAAGTTTTTATTTAAAAAAAAAAGGTTTTGACTTTATAAAAAAAAAGGTGTGTGCGCGATTCACACACGATAGAAGTGAAACTTCAAAGAGGAGAGACCGATATATATTTTTTTTTCCTTTCATCTAGGTTTTTAAAACTCCGGGGGGTCTACGGGGGGGTCAAAATTTATTTTTGGCCTAGGACGCACCGTTTCCGAGATATTTCAATCTAAAGCAAAAAATCGTCACTTGATAGTGGAAAGTGGAAACACGCACAAAACCAGAATAAACCAGTTTACGCTGTCCGCAGGTGCCACGTGCAGTCCGGCGTCAGTCGCTTGGTACTGTTAGAACATAAAGCACACATTTCATTCAAAAATTATAATTATTACGTTAATTGTTAAATTTTGTATTTGTTGATTGTTGTTATTGTTTGTTATTATTGTTATAATATTTGTTGAAGTGTTTAATTTGTGTGTAAGTGTTGCAACTTTATATTGTTAATTAAAAATGGCTCCAGTGTTAAAACATGGTCGAGGCAAGCCTTTGACTTCTCAAACTAAAGAAGTTTTGTACTGTTTGTACAAATATTTCGAAAATGAGTGTAATAACAACCCGAGCAGTATTATGACTCCCACTCAATTAGTTGCTAAATCAACGGGAATTTCAATAGCATCCGTCAGAAAGGTAGTATCAGAAAGCAAATGTCGACCTTCAGATCAGGAAGTAACATTTAAATCTCCTAAAAAGAAACCGAATCGTAAACCTACAATAGTAATCGATAACTTTGATCAGCAAGTTATCAGAAGAACAATTCATGACTTCCACATCACAAATAAAGAAATTCCCACTTTGAAAACTTTGCACGCAAAATTAAAAGAAGATATCGATTATAAAGGTTGTGTCAGCACGTTACGAAAACACGTCATGTCATTAGGTTTTAATTGGAAGCAAACAGAAGATAACCGGAAACTTCTTATGGAAAAACACGAAATTAGATACTTGCGAATTAATTATTTGATGAAAATTGCTGAATATCGTGAACAACGCCGACCAATTGTTTACACCGACGAAACATATATACATACATCACATACCCTCTCGAAATCTTGGTCAGATGGAAGCACTTCAGGTTTGAAGCAACATATATCGAAAGGCAACCGCTTAATCATTGTTCATGCCGGTGGTATGGATGGCTTTATACCAAATGCATTGCTTATGTTTAAAGCCAACCAAAAAAGTGGAGATTACCACGACAATATGAACTATGACAACTATTCAAGGTGGATTCAAACTCAATTAATACCCAACTTACAACCAAATAGTGTTGTTGTTGTTGACAACGCACCATATCATAACTCAATACAAAATCCTGCACCGAATAGTAATTCTAGAAAACAGCAAATGATTGACTGGCTGACATTGCGAAACATTGAGCATTCATCCACGTTGCTTAAGCCTCAATTATATGAACTGATTCTGCAAAACAAGGCGAGATTTGTAGAGTACAAGATAGACGAAATATTACGACAGCACGGTCATACTGTGCTGCGTTTACCACCATACCATCCGGAGTTTAATCCTATAGAAAATATATGGGGGATAGTGAAAACATATGTCGCAAAAAAGAATGTCGCAATGAATATGAAGGTTATAATGTCATTAGCTGAAGAAAAAATGAACGCCATAACTGTAGAGGAATGGAGAAAAGTTTGTCTGCATGCTATTGAGGAGGAAAACAAATATCAGGGTAGAGACGCAGCTTTAGACACAATATCAGAACGAATCATAATTAATTTAAATAATTCATCTGATGAAAGCGAGGATGGGGATGATTGTGATATGCCTGGGGTTGATGAATTATTAGAATAAAACATTTATGGCCGGAGAACACCTAATTCATACACGTCTTCACTGAAGTGAAAACCGGCATTCACTGCTTGTAATATTTGGAACTGGCTTATCTGCCTCATACAGTTCCATAGATTACAATGCAGTGGATACACATTTTCACGTCCGTATTAGTACGTAGTGCGTATGCGTAGACGTGTACGCATTTGGTGTGCTCCAGCCACAAACGTATATTACCTTTAAAAAAATAAAAACTAAAAATAAAATGTTGTTTTTTTTTTTATTTGCTGACCATACACTACTACAAACGCAAAAATTTCTCCAAGCTAATTTACCTGTATTATTTGCATTAATTGCTATAGCCACTAGTCTACCCTATCAGTCTATGCTTAAACCATAGACTTATAGAAAATTATTCCAGCGACACGTCTCCATTTATTTTGAGCCATAGATTAAGTAGAGGTAAATCTTAAATAAGTATAGGGATGTGACATTCTGCATAAAAAAATCGATTAATCTTAAAAAAAATAATCGATTTTTTTTTATTAATCAATTTTTCTAATTTTTGAATTAATTTCAAAATAAACACCCTAAATATTTTATTTTTCATGGTTTTTTTAAATTAAAAATAAACAATAGAAATTATAAACACAAATTAACGTTTAAGAATAATTAAAATCGAAATTAACTTAATCTCGTTTTGATAGATTTTGATAAATGCTGAGTGTATTCCTTTTCAGTAGCACATTGCAGTATTTTTGTTGTCTTTTTAATTGTATGTAGTCTTGTGCTGCTGAATAAATATATTTTACTTTTAAATTATAGGGTTCCATTCAAACTTGATTTTTTGTAAAATTAACTGCTTCTATCATCCTTTTGATGTTTTACAAAAAAAACATCAATGTATCGAGTATATCAATACATCTTCAAAGAATCGGATTCAATATATCGCATTGTAAACATCGTTGTGTATCGAATATCCCTAATAGTTCGAGGTCCGGGTTATAGAAGACCAGACATAATGTCGGGAGGTGGCAGATAAAAAATCGATTATGATTGATTTTCAATTATAAAAATAATCGATTATTTTAAATATAAAAATCGCGTAAAAAAATCGATTTTTACTTTTACAAAAATCGATTATTTTAATAATCGATTATTTTTTCACATCCCTAAATAAGTATAATATAGTAGGTACTAAGACCGAACTCCGAGTAGAAAATATAATAAGTTATACACGTATTTAACTATGTAGTCATAGTCTATATTTGTGGTCACTACTCACTAAGTCACTAGCAAGTAGCAATTTTACCTTTACTAAATCTGTGCTAGCAAAACTGAAAACACACTTTGCCGCATATCTATAAATTAATTTCAGTAAAGCTAGATTTTTTTAAGTTCTAACAAAATAATTGAGTTAATTATTGTTTTTTTTTATCTGACAGCATAATTAGTTGTTACCAACAATATATTTTAAACTACTCGCGTATGGGATTGGCAGCACTCATTGTCAGTTTTTATATTATCTTAGTAGCAATATTGGGAATTTATATTTTTGAAAATAAATCCAAAAAAGGTAAGAAATCAATATACTAATTTAAATTATTCTAGCTAGCTACTATATTAGCAATCGGTTTAGATTTGAAAAATAAAAATGTTGAGTATGGCAGAAGAGTAGGATGTACAAGTGCTGTAGGAATTAATATGTTACAAAGCATGTGTGCGCAAGTTTGCGAGATAACATAATATATAGATATGTAAGCAGTGTGAAATAGAAAATGGGCATGCTGAGGCGGTTGAGACTTAGATAATAGTTATCAGTAGTTTCATAGTCAACTGATATACAATGTGAGAGTGGTAGAACTACCTGAAGCAGAAAAAATAAACTGGTTACCACATTAACCAACAAGCAAATGGTCAATAATAATAATATAAGCCTATATTCAGACAAGATACAATTTTACTTAAGCTAGAATATAAATGTTTAGTATTGAAAAAATTAATTAAAATATAGTTGAATATTTACATTCCCTCAACAACCTTGTCTGTTTGCCTTTTGTTGGCAAAGGCCTCCTCCAAATGCCACCATACATTACTGACCTGGGGAGTTCGGGTCCATGTGCCACCTGCCACGGCTCTTATTTCACCAACCCACCTTAGGAATGGTCTACCCCTTTTCCTCTTCATGTGACCTGTGTACCAATGCATTAATGATTTGCTTCCATTCTAAACCTCTTCCATTTTAGTTTTTTAATTGTTATAGTTACATCTTTTGTTTTTGTGTGATTTTTTATTGTTGATATTATGTTTATTCTGTCGGAAAGTTTTTTCCCCATCACGCTTCTTTTCATTGCCAAATGGTCAATAACTACTAATAACTATTAGTGTGGTAATAGCTAGTTATAATAGTAAATATAACTACTATTAATTTTAGATCAATATTCTTTTTAGGATGGCTCGAGGACATCAGAAAATTCAATCTCAAGCAAAAGCAGCAGAGAAGTTGTCTAAATTGAAAAAACAACAAGGTCACAGTGCCACTGATCAAAAGAAAGCAGCCCAGAAAGCTTTAGTTCATGTGTGTGTTGTATGCAAGGTAAATTAAGCAATTTAAGATTATTATCAATTTAAGATTATTATATTTATGTAATTATTGAAAGTATCCTTGGCTAGTTGTTGTCTACTCAAACATTTCTTTGGGTGCGTATTCTAGCTATTTCGTCATGATGGTAGAAGAATGTCGGATTTGAAGAAAATCCAAAATCCATTTTTTATCATATTTGGATACTACATTGCGGCTACATCAAAAGAAAAATCCATGTGCTATAAATTTCAAATTAATTAGTCTGTAAAGTGACGGATTTGATAGAAACATGTGATTTTTCTAGAAGACTGTGAAATTTAATTAATTGTTTTTATTTTATTTCAAAACAAACCCTTTGGTTTGCTTGTATGCCAATTTTCATAATAACAGAATATGAATTAAAATATGACAAAAACTAACATGATTATTTTATTTTGTATTGGCTGCCCTGTAAAATTTAATATTTGTCAGATCCGTCACTATTCTACTATGGCAATTTGATTTTGACTGAATAAAATCAGTCAAAATCCTATTCATTTTTGTCATACAGAAGTTATACTTAGTGCTTATTCTCATACCCCTAGAGAGAAAGAGCATAGATTGGTTTGTCTTATTTGTATTATTTTATTTGACAGGCTCAAATGCCGGATCCGAAGACTTATAAGCAGCACTTTGAAAACAAGCATCCCAAAAATGATTTACCAGAAGATTTAAAGGCAATTTGAAAGTAGATTACCATCTGCTTTCTTTTTGTTTTTGCATTTAAATGTGAACGGAATAAACAGAGTTTTTTTACAATAATAAAAGTGTATTTTAGTATTCTGTTGCACGGCTAGTGCTATAAGTATAGTGATATAAGATCCATAAGACAAGCTTTAATTTATTTTTTAATTACAAACATTGATATACAGTATATGGTGGGTTGACTACATCTTCTCGTAGACGAGCAGATGGCCGCACTCGCAGGCGCGCTCATAGACGTCGTCGTCAGGGTTGTGGCGTTCGGGGCCATACTCGTGCTCGTGCGCGTCTCGCGTGCGGTCGAACAGACTGGAGCGCACGTCCATGCGTAGGGCTCGAAGGCGTCGTCGCTCGTGCGTCGCGGCCGCCTGTTCACGCCGCCGAGCGCGTAAATCCTGCTCCTCTCGCAGCGCCTCGTGGGATCCCCACACCTCGAGGGCGCGCTGCTCCACCTGCACGCGCAGGTAGAGGCGCATCTCGGCGAAGCGAGCGCGGTGTGGGTTGCGGCGACGCACGCACAGCAGCGGCGGCGGCCGGGAGTCGAGATCGCAGTCCTTGAGTGAATACTCGCCCTTCGCCTCTGTCCGCGTTATCAACGCGTGTTTCTCCTCGTCGTCTCTGTTGACGGACTCTTATTGCTTAACTTGTATTGAAAGTGATATTGTGCTTAAAAATATATTTATATAATAATCCTACAAATGCCATTTTATACTTTTAGCTAACAATTATATTGACCGTGGTTATTTTTTGTAAACCTGAGGGTTATCAAAACATTAAATTCTTTTTTTTTCTACACATCTTAAGTAAATTAGGTATATCTTCAACACTTATTTTTAGAAAATTGTGTAAACTACACACAAGTGAAAATAATTCTACATAGGTCTAACTCACCACTCACCTACAGTCGTCGCAGACGCAGTAGTGAAAGGTATCAAAGAGGTAGGACTGTGGGAACGGCCGTTGGCATTCGAGGCAGTGCGGCTGCTGCGACCGATGCACGAGGGGCGCGGCAGGCGGCTGAACAGCTTTCGGCTCCATCTCCTTCTCCTCGAGCAGAAAACCTCCGCCAGAGTCCATGCTCGGTCTGGGCAATGACTCGGATTACTTCACTGGTGCACTACGTCACGAGTGTGAACGTTGTATCACATGGTGTACACTCACTGGACGCTGACGACGGCTCGCGACTTCGACGGCGGCGGTGCCAGACGTGCTTCGCGCAAGACGCGCGCTCGCTGCCGATTGCGTTCTGCGCGCGCTCGTTGGGCATCGCTTAGACCCCCTCCAACACTTTCATATTCCTCTTGTTTTTCTTCATTTTTCTCATTCATTAATTCTTCCGAACTTCCTTCATACATATCTGTTTTATTTTAATTTGTATTATTTGCTTTAAGTGATCAGACTCTTAATGATCAAACTGAAAATTTGTTCGATAAACAAAAAGTAAATATCATATACATAGTATATTAATATAGTGTACAATGACAAAATCCATTTGACTAATTGGGAAACGTAAGAAATATTAATATAAAAAGATTTAGTAGTGGGATTATCTATTATATTATTGTGATAGGTATTTTCAAAAAAACAGGTTTTTATTGCTGATACTTAAATACTTGTTTTTGTACATAATAATTTCTATTAAATTCATACAATAATTTTTGAAGAAAAATATGTATATTTAATAGATATAGGCCTAAATGAGAGGTTTTGGATTATTTGTAAGTACTAAGTTAATAGAAAAGCAATTACAAAATCTTGTACAATTTCATCACATAATTACCTTAAGGTGCACCCAGGCAAAGTGACAGGTTCGATAGTGTAAGGTCTTCAGTTTTCAGTACAACCGAAAAGGTGTTCTTATAAGTAATGTTTTGCTTCAAAGTGTTAAGAACCAGGACGTCTAACACTTTTTCCAAATGAACACCAGAACATTCATATGAGCGTTTCCCATTGAGACTGAGTGTTTCTTCACTATTCCTAAGTTTAATTTTTAAATGCCATATTAAATTTAAGCATCTGAAAGAAGATAGATCAGACTTAGCTCTTCACAAATTAAATTAGATTTTTTTACTTTATTTGCAACATTTTCACTTTTTTATTAAACAAATATATTGTATCTTATTGTTTAAAAATAGTATCAAAAATTAGGTGATTATTAAGTGGGTTTAAGTTTTAACCAATTACCTGTTTACTACTTCTCTTTCATAAAATTTCTAAGTTTTAACGCTTTTCTTTGCGATACGAAGTTCTTCACTTTACCATTACCACCTTTAGCTACAATACAATATTCAAGAGCAAAATGTAAACAAATAGTGGCATCATAAAACAAATAATGAATGTTCTCTGTGAAGTGTTTACTGAATAGTGAATTGAGAATACACTAAATTACTTAAAAATTATATAGGTAATATGTCGGAGCAATGGCGCTGGTGTCAGCTGCCATGATCGTTATATATCTCAATTAACTGTTAGAGACTGACAAGCGACTTGTAGCACATCCTCTGGCGGCAAATCTAAAAATCTTTCAGCTGTTAACTCCGTATATAGTCTGAAAAACAATCTTGATACTTTTGCTAAACTTGATTATTTGTTTAATAAAGTTTGGAGTCTCCAAAGAATTAAATCTAAAAATAAATATATGCAAAACGAAAACATTAACTACATCAAAATTAACACCAACATTTCCACTCCACCGAAAACGGAATAAAAAAGATGCACAACTTAAACCTAACAATATTTATTCATTCGGAAATATAATAAAAATCTGATTCAAGAAATTCGATGCCTTCAAATGATTCATCGCTGTCACTTTCATCGTCACGGACATGGATCTGGAGTGGTTCAAGTTCCTCTTCTGTTATTCCATCTTTTACTTTGTATATATTTTCAACATTAATCACATGATCAGTGCAGTTTTTCCAGTCATCAGCAGTCACACGATTAAAAAGAGTGGCGGAGAGTTTATTGCAAGTTCTTCTCTTCCGTACTACGGCCTTGATTTGAGAACTGGCAGTAAATATAAAATTAGAAGCATATTTTCATATAATATATTATTAATTATTATATAATAAATATATCTATATATATATATATATTTATTTGACGTTCATAAATGTACATTGTGTTTAACCTATATGAATAAATGATTTTGACTTTAACTGGCATAACATTTCCTTATTAAATTTTCCTTTTCGGCAGCTGTTATGCCTAAATTTATACTTTCCACTGTCCTTTTTGCCAAGCTCCAAATCAATTCTATAGCATTGAGATCACAATGATATGGCGGCAATTTGATTACCTCATGTCAATGCTGTTTTAGCAGTTCTTCAACTTCGTACAGGGGAGTGGGTTTGCTTTCTTTGACAAGACATAAAAGCTCAGCCTTTGTAAAAATTTCGTCAATTACAAGGGTATGTCATATTCGGTCAGCCACTTCTGAATATCAGCCTTTAAACTGCTCATCGTAGGCGGCTTGTTAATTTGAGTTACATGATAACTCGCATTATCCATTACAATAACACTAGGTTCAGTTAAATTGGGTATCAATGTTTCTTCCATCCATTTCATGAAGTAATTTCGGTTAATATCATCACGGTAATCAGCCATTTTAGATTTTGTGCTGAATACCAAGAATGCATTGGGCACAAACCCTTCTCAGAGCCAGCATGGACTACGATATATCTTTTACCTAAAAACAAAAAAACATAATAATTAAAAAAAGAAACAAACATTCTGAAAGACATTCCAAAAAAGGCAAAATTCATTTTACAAAAACCTTTAGAAACTTTGTCAGTAATACTCCACTCCTACTTGTTCCTTGCCATGACTTTTTTGACTTGTAGTTTTGGTGGACATATTGACAATTTTATGTTTCGTCCAGGTAAACTATTGTCTTTTCTATTTCGATTGCTGCAGATGCGTTGTTTTCATGCAACCGCTAGCAGCGGACAAGGCAAGCCTCTGGAAGCTTCCAAGTTTATGTTCTAGGTCCGGTTCCTGAGCAGTTTAGTATCTAAGGTCACACCTAACCGTTCACCAAACGATGAGTCCACGCATTCTGTTCCAGGTTTCCTATTATTATTGCAAGAGCGACAAAATTCGTATTTTTCTAAGATTCAATCATTATATTATACGTACGATTTAACGTTAAACCTTAACAGCAAGGAAGACGAAAAAAATTTTCAAATCAAAACGTCCAATATACAAGAACTTCGTAGTGAATTTATTGAGTCAGTGTCTCAAATAAATATTGAGCAAAGGAAGCATAATCCTCAATTCACTCCTTCTTTTCATACATAGGAGTCCTTTGAGGACCTGTACGCAACCATACAGGGTAAGCTATAGGAACTAAAAAGTACTAGGTACATTTGAGGAGAAATTAGATCATCCAAAATAATTAATAATATAATAATAATAGCCTTTTCTTCCAAAACTTAATCATTCATTGATTTTGAATTTAAAAAAATACCATTTAACATTAGGTAAAATACACTTTAACATTTAAAAATCATCATTTGCTTGTCAGGTTTTGGTTTGTCCACCATTGGACCTAGGCCTCCTCTATCCGGTTCCACTCGTGTCTGCCGTGGGCCAGGCGCGGCCAGATGATCCCGGGGACGGCGGTGATGTCTTCCGCCCAGCGCGGCGCCCCTGGGGCCGGCGCGCGTCGCGCTGTGCCAGTGCAGCACTCTCTCGCTCCGTTTCAGGCGGCACTCCATTTCAGCTGCGTCTAATATTTTTGTTTTATTTCGTATTGTTGTCTGAAATTAAAGTTGCCTCCAATTAAATTACCACAATTTAATGGCGACCCAACTAATTGGACTTCAATCTACGAAGCCTATAACCATTTAGTGCATAACAATAGGTCAATTTCACATTCTGAAAAGGTGTTCTATCTTTTTGGGCAACAGGGAAGGCACTGACCCACTGTGTACTTATGATTTAATTTAATGTACCTTAATTGACAGATATCAAAACGTACGGTCTCTTGGCTTTTATTATTTAGATAATATTTTTAATTTTAAAACATTAACAAGTTCTTCTACAGACAGTTTAAAATTTAAATAGTTTTTTGATAATTTTGATATTACATCAATCCCAACTATTCAAAAACTAGAAAAACCTAATAAGTAAATTAGATTTTTTGTTTTCATTTTTAGCACTTAAAACAATAGACAACGAAACAATTATTTCATTTGATAATTCTTTTAGAAAAAAAGTTAACTTGTTATTCGCAATTAATTACTTTTTTAAGAGAATAGTGTAAAGTTTTGGAACGAACAAATCCTATGATTATAAAACCTGCTAAAAATAAATATTCCAAAATTAAATGCAAGAGGAAGATTCAATATCATTTAAAAACAAAATTATTGCGTAAAATGTTTAAGCATAAAACATAAAACCAAATTTTTAAAATGTTTTTTTTTATGTTACAGGAGGCTCACCTAATGTTAAGTGATCCCGCCGCCCATGGACACTCGCAAGCGCGCTGCCGACCTTTAAAGAATTGGTATGCTCTTATCTTGAAGGACCCTAAGTCAAATTGGTTCAGAAAAACTTCAGTGGGTAGCGTGTTCCACATTTTAAAACTATTTTCTCGTGCATTTGTATTTCGAAAACCATGATTAAATTCATTTTCCCGTTTTTTTTTCTTTTCGTCACTCTATTTATAAGATGGAAATCATGAAACAATATCGCGTTATTTACGAGTACGAGTTCCACCGTGGCACCAGTGCTTCAGAAACGGTTCGAACGTATAATGACGTGTATGGCTGCGGTGTTGCAAAAGAAAACTCAGTGCGTTTTTGGTTTCAACGTTTACGTTCTAGAAATTTTGACTTGCAGAACAAGCCCCGTGGACGGCCAGAGAACAAAGTTAATAACAAAGATTTGAAGGCTATTGTGGCAGCGGATCCATCGCAAACTACTTACGTCTGAGTGAGCTGCAGGCTGCGGTGTTAGTGATAAATTATTTTTATTTAGTTCATTATCGGAAACGAGAATATTAAAATACTTACAATTTATGAGTGTGGTAAAACTAAAGGGCTCATTTGGCTTCAAGTGTAATGATTGTTTACATTTTTTTTTTATATTTCGGATATTGAAGAGTTTAATTTTGGGTTAATTTTTAGTTTAGGCAGTGTGATTATGAAGACATTATTATAAAGTTGACGTAGATAAGAAACAAGACAATCCCCTTCTAACGACTTCGAAGATGTCTAGCTTATCATTTTTCGAGTTAATAGCTCAACGACTGTGATTCATTGTAGATTTCAGTGCCTACACACAATTGCACAAACTATGTTTAATAATATAAATAATTACCTAGTCTAAATAATGCATGTAATAAGCCTGGCTTCAAACCAACGGAACGTTGCTTGGGTTTTTCGTGCCTTGTGACCAGGTGCGGAATCCTGCTAGACGGTACGGACGGACGGTAGATTTTTAAAAAGTGTAGGTATTGCTGAGAGGTTTCACAACATGATTCACTATATACTGTATCTTGATACACTTTGGGTCTACTTTTCACTCCTTTTTCACAAAAATATAGTTTTGTGACTCCTTAAAAGAGTACCGAGAGTTTTTTACGCCGGCTTTTTCTCTCGGCCTACACCCTCTGTCTTCTTTGCCGATGAGTAGGGATGCCTAAAAGTTCAAATTTAATGACGTGTATGACGTGTTCAAATTAAATAAGTGATACATGTATCTTATGTTCCATAATAAACATTTTTTTTTTCTTGATCAGACACGGCCCACCAAACCATCACTGACGCAGGATGATGAACAGGTTGTACCTTTCCGACCACTTAAGCAACTTTTTTAGAACTGTGAGCGTACACTGTATCATTTTGCTTATTGTAGTGTTCTTCAATCGTGAAAATGTTTTCATCGGTAATGAGGATATTTCTGTGCGTTTCAACTGCGTATCGCGACAGAAGGCGTTTTGGTCGATCCACTCTCTCTTTAATTGTAAAGATTGATTTAGGCCATATCCTGTATATCGACGATAAGCACCGAAATTCAGGTCTTGTTTTATAATACGCGACAGAGTCCTAGCGGGAATCTCCATTTCTCGCGATAAGATTTTTTACTTCCTAATGGGGTTTCGACGAATTCTGTCGTTAACAGCAGCACGCGGCCGCCCCTATCTTTTCTGGTCTTCAGACAGACGAAGTGTTGTTGTATCTGTATATACATAGTACGACATACGAACATACGACTGATACTACCAAGCTTTTGAAGCGTCTGGAATATGACCGACGGGCGACTGCTCCATACCCACTTTGTGCAAGCCGCAAGGCGATCACTGAAATCTTATTTTCTTTAACACCCCATTCCAAATTATATTTTTTTATGGCCCAAATTGTAATTTGATAATGAACACGAAAAATATGTGAAATGGTGCAAAATCTAAAGAAGTTTTTAAAATAATATACTTTTTTTTTAAATATTATGGCAATAATTTTAACTTTATGCCAGTTCCGAGTAAAAGGTAAAAAATCAAAAACAAAGACATCAAAAGGAAATAAAGTCATAAGCTGGTTAAAAACAAAATATGTACATAAACATATTACATCTTAATATTATTATTGATTATGAAAGAAGATAATACATTATAATATAATAAAGGATAAAGCAAAAGGCAGGAGATTTTAGTCGGAAACAAAACATGAAGTAATTGTAAGGAATTCAGATTAAGGAGGTGCGCGGTCATATTAGAAACAAGAAAAGAAAATATGGTCGAGGTCACCAATATCTCCACACTCGCAAATATTACTATCAACAATAGGAAGAAATATTATCAATTTTCATGCCGACAATATTAATGGCATCATTAGAGATTAATAAAGAAAACACTTTTTCAACTACGTCTACCCTGGCTTCAACCACGTCTCAGATAACGCAACAACAACAGGAGAATGTTTATTTAGCAAATATATTTAATCATGTTTCTTTGGAACAACACTCTTGCAATTCCATTGAATTATCTTGCAGTCCATTATTTTTAATAACATTAATTGACCTGTCACATGATACACCTGCATGTTGACCTCCACAGTTATAACATATTGTAAACTTTGGTATGACCATAACGGCAGCATTTATAGAATTGTATCTCTACTGGAAGAGCATTATAGCACATGAAAATCCTTTTTGGTACAACTTGCTCGTCAAATGTTATTACAACAAATTCAGAGGGTTTCCAAGAAACCGAGTCATTAATTTTCACCTTGCGATTCAAACGTCTTATTGTATGTTGCCGCAGCCTATAGGTACGGATACATTTTGTTGAACTTCCTCTACACTACAATCTACAGGGACCCCGCGAACTAGACCCATTTTGAGTCTGAGTTTGGAAAAGGCAACTACGCACCTGTTTCTTTCTATATGCACTATTTCTATTCACTTCCGGTAATAATATTATGAAATTTGTTCTGCTTTAAAAAATTGCCAAATGTATGTTATAGGATGGAGAATGATCCCGTCGTCAGGTGAACTTTGTATACGTTGAACATGTATTAAATAAGGGGAAACATCAGTAGGAACATATTCAGTACGGCCAATCGAACTGGAGTCCGAATTGGTTACTGTAGTTTTGGTGTTGT